CCTCTTAAAGAATAGGAGACCGTTAAACAACAGTATTTCCTTAAAAAATGAAACTGTTTTTTTTTGCCAGCCAGGTATGTCCCTTAAAAGATACAGTTTTTTAAAGACATCATGTCCTCCAGTCTTTAGGCTAAATTCCCAGGAGGATGATAGACCGATAGATAGATAGATAGATCGATCGATAGATTAGATTAGATTAGATTAGATGAGATTAGATTAGATTAGATAGATAGATAGGTAGGTAGATAGATAAATAGATAGATAGATAGACCGATAGACCGATAGATAGATAGATAGATAGATAGATAGATAGATAGATAGATGGATAAATAGATAGATAGATAGATAGATCGATCGATCGATAGATAGATAGATTAGATAGATACATAGATACATAGATGCATAGATGCATAGATGCAAAGATGCATAGATATAGATAGATAGTTAGATGAGACACGCTCTTAACCCCGAAGCAGATTCAGGAACTTAACCCCGAAGTTTTTTTTCTTAGCTACGAATTGTGGTCAGTTTAACTCGGAAGCAATATTCTTTTTTAACCACGAAATACGATACAATATACATTTGAATTTATTTTAAAAAGAGGAAAAGTCTCCATAGAGAAGAGTCCCGGTAAAGTCCCCGTAAAGAGGAAAAGTCTCCATAGAGAAGAGTCCCCGTAAAGAGGAAAAGTCTCCATAGAGAAGAGTCCCCGTAAAGTCCCCGTAAAGAGGAAAAGTCTCCGTAGAGAAGAGTCCCCGTAAAGAGGAGTAAAGAGGGAAAGTCTCCATAGAGAAGAAGCCGTCAAGTCCCCGTAAAGAGGAAAAGTCTTCATAGAGAAGAGTCCCCGTAAAGAGGAAAAGTCTCCATAGAGAAGAGTCCCCGTAAAGTCCCCGTAAAGTCCCCGTAAAGAGGAAAAGTCTCATAGAGAAGAGTCCCCGTAAAGTCCCCGTAAAGAGGAAAAGTCTCCATAGAGAAGAGTCCCCGTAAAGTCCCCGTAAAGAGGAAAAGTCTCCATAGAGAAGAGTCCCCGTAAAGTCCCCGTAAAGAGGAAAAGTCCCCATAGAGAAGAAGCCACTGTGAAAGCGAATTCGAACTTCGTGGCGAAGAAATAGTCCGTGGTTAAGAAACAGTTCTATTCGGGGTTAAGAAACATCTACTTCGGGGTTAAAGAATACAAAGTTCAGGGTTAGGAGGGTCCTTGATAGTTAGATAGGTAGATAGATAGGTAAACAGACAGACAGCCAGACAGCCAGACAGCCAGCCAGCCAGGCAGGCAGGCAGCCAGACAGACAGATACTGTAGATAGTCAGATCGACAAATATTGAGATAGATTAGACAGGCAGATAGATAGATAGTCCAGTCAGATAGACAAATAGAGAAATAGACAAATAGATAGTTGAGTCAGTCAGACTGATAGACCGATAGATAGACAGACAGAAAGATAGACAGATAGATAGATAGATAGATAGAAAGATTTATTGATAGAGATAGAGACTCAGATCCTCAACCACCTTTCGGTCCATCAGTTCGCTCTGACATCCATAAATCACAACAACTCACCTCTGCTACAGTGCTACAGTATAGGTTTCCTATCTTTGAAACTTCCGCCACCGCCTTGTGCGTTGGACCAACGGATCGTTCCAACGACTTCCCGTGTTCAGCTGGTGGTCTTGTGCCATAAATGGGGCACCCCCAATGGGTGAGACAAACTGGGCAGCTGCAGGGGATCAGGTGAAAAATCCGCGACATCTGCCAGGGGATGTTCCAGACATATCAAAGCTACCAGAGATCAATAGGGAGTTTTTTTTTAAACATGGAACTCATCTGATGGTTTCAGTTTAGGATCCCAAATCTGTGTGCTGCATCTTGGGACAGGCACATTGACCAATTCTTGCTAGACTTATTGTTCATAGGAACATCCTGCTCTGAAAGGGGAACGACTTCGAAGTCGAACTTCGTTGCTTCTTTTCGATTTGTTGGAGCCAGTCTTCCCGTGAGGCCCGTCTTTTTGTGTCTCAAAAGAAATTGTCCACAAATAGTGCACGGAAAATCCCTTGCAGTTCAAGCTTTCTAGAGACATAAAAGCAGCTGTAACATGCTGTAACTTTATCTGCGGAATAGTTGGTGGAATAGTCTTGCAGCTGCCCCCTTGGGCCACGGTCTGTCCAGGCAGGGGTTCTCACAGCAGTTGCGCCTTGGCACAGCGTTGGTGGGCATGGTATTTCAGATGTTCATCCCTTTGGTATGGTCCCATCATATCCCATCCCCAATCTTAAGCCCTTAAGTCATCACAGCTTAGAATCTTGGGCCAAGGCTGGCAAGTGGCACATGCATTGCAGTAAACTTAACCCAGCACCCGCCCATCCTCTTTGCGGAGCAAGTTGCACTGCGTTGTTTGGAAGAAATATGTATGTACAACCAGAGATACAACCTGCCAGGGAACAATGCGCTTGGAATTGGCGTGAAGTTGTGCGCTATCAGGTCTCACACATCTTGCAATGCCCATCTGTTGAGCTGTGAAGACCTTTCCACGCTTCCCCCTTACACACCATGATCAATGGGTAGGCTCTTACACATTCATATGGGTGTGATGGACAATGGAATATTTCTACATTTGATGGATAGCAATGATAATAATCATTATTCTTACAAACTCATATTCAATGTGATGATGTGGATCTTGCAATGCACCACGACGATTATCCATGTGCCCTGCCTTCGCCTGCAATGCCGGCAGCAGTGGTTTAAAGTTTCGGTTGAGCAGTGAGGTCTGGTAACCAGCAGCTGGGAATGATGCCGCGACTTTTTCTTTACATGATTTTACATGCTGAGTCAGACCCTTTTTCTGATAGCTATGGATCAAACATTGAGACCGCTGATAATCCCCAAGAATAGGAACATCATGGGTTTTGACTTACGACCATATTTAATTCGAGGACTCATTGCGACTGCTTCTGGCAGAAACAGTAAAACTACCCACAATGTCCGACAGGCAAAACAGCAGTCTATTGCTGTACTCGATCGCAAGCCTATTATTCCTATTCAAACAGCACCAAAAGGATTGCTCAAAGAATGACTGGATCAGCAAATTTGTTTCCTTTTGTGTTTCACCAAATGTTTGAACGGCCGCTACACGACCCAAGTCATGGCCACTTTCCAGTTTGCCGCTGAACCAGAGATGCCATGGTCTGCTCGTGAAACTGCCAGCACCCGTAAACACTTGATGTCCGCAAGTCATAGTTTGAAGCACTTCGCATGAATAGAGGTGGTCTTTTGTTTGAATCGATAGGCTCATCATTTCTGATCCAAAGTGTTTGGCAAACTCGTTTCGAGAACAGAAGGATGGACAATTTCATGGAAACTGTTGGTCGCAATGGCTTCCTGTTGGCAAGGACATGACCACTTACATAATATGTGTATACATATATTATCATATATACATACACACATATGAGTAGATATGTAGCTACGGACTCAATCTGAATGGGTACTGCAGCAAGAAAACACCAGAAGATATCACATCACATCACCGGTATGGTCAGCATGTCACAACGGGGGAACGAGGTCTTATATTCTTACGGTCCACCTGAACCATATTATGTGCGTATATCACAATGTAAGTTTGGTGGACTTATAGATTGTGACTGAAAGGAAATGGCGTGTTGCAAAAGGGACATCCAAGATCAGGCACAACGCTGTTGCGGCCCATGAAAAAACATGGATTGGCCTGCGCTGGTTGTTCTGGCATGTTTTGGCTGCATTGCCTTTTGATGACTGGTACTGGTACTCTCAACCAACGCAACCAGCACAGCCAATTCGCATAAGAGAGTCTGCATCTGCAGATCTGGCAGCTTCCCAATGCTCATGAATGAATGTTGCGCAGTTGCCATCTCTCGGTATCTTTGTATCTCGCTATATCTCGAACAACATGGAACGCATCTTCCAGATCTGGGCCATTGGCCAAACAAAGATTTGAAGTTGGAGCAAACAGGGGGACTGGAAAAGGATGGCTTCTTCCCTCTACCCTTGTTTTGATGACTTTTTGGGCTGAATATGGGTGAATAGATGGCCAGATTCGGTAGCTAGATGCTGCAAATGAGTCGAGAGCCGAAGCCAGATTCGGTGGCCGCTCGCTTCTGTCAAGTTTGCTTTGCCCAGATGAGGTGAGAAGAGATCTACTATCCTGCCCCTTAGCTTGTTCACTAGTCGTAATCCGGGTCCGCTACAAGATGAGACAAAGGGTTTTTCAAAACTACCCGAAGGACCGTTAACAACTCCTGTTGGTCAAGCATTTGGTAAACAATTGGCAAATCAAACATCTTGACAGCAGCGAAACCCCTATGACCAGCTTCTTCTGCAGTGCACTCCTGACAGAGTGGCCGCCGGGGAGGATTTTTGGTGATGCTTCATACAATCGCTGGATCGATTTGGAAATCAAATTCTGTTTTTTAAAGATTCATTTTCAAGGTCTTCACATGTTTTGTACGATTTCCATCCAAGTCTAGAAATCAAGAGTCTTGATTTTCTGCGAACTAATTTGCCTTGCTGCAACAAGAAGAACCGAGAAAGCAGTCCTCGTTAGATATGCACCACTGTGCAGTGGTGAAGCGGCAAGTGCTGCTCAGCCTGTGCCATTTCGTGAGTTTCGGCGGGTCGATCAACGTGGTGGGGACACAAAACTACTTGTCAAAACTTGTCAAACACATTAGTTTGCTGCGGATTTTCACAGTATGTCCCAAAATCGGGAAACAAAACCGATGATTGAGTCAATCTGATTGAGGCATGCTGCAAGTTTGCACGAACTGGTCTGCAGTTTATATGTCTACAACACTGCTTCGATTGCCACAGGTTTTGCCCAGCTAGCCCTCAGGTATCCCACAGCAGGGAGAATATGGGAGAAGATGATCTCACCAAGATCCACCAATTCAGCTCTCTTCGACCCCAAACAACTTCGCAACTTCGCCACTTTTTTCACGAAAATGTCGAAGTCGCCACCATTTTCAGGTGCGTCCACGGCTCCGTGAACGGGTTCCATTAACCACCTCAACCACCTGTGGCAAGCGGTTTTTCTCGGGACCGGTTTGGATATGGGATGCAGATGATGCAGGAAGCCAAACGATGAAAATGGTAGGTCTTTCCGAAGCGGCACATGAGAGGAAAGAGCTCGTATTCCATGTGTTGAGGATTGGAGGATCGAAGAGATTACAGGGACATTTGATGATCTGTTCAAGTGGGGCAAAACCATTTAAGTGGATATTTGTGGCTCTAATCTTGTGCATGCGACAGTATCTACTGATATTACTGATTCTGCTGATTGGTTGGTTTAACCAATTCCCAAAGTATTGATGAATTCTACTCTAGATGATGCCAGGTAGAATAGGGATGGAGAGTTCTTGAACATTCAAAACCTTCGTCAACCAAACGATCTCCATAGACATCTCTACACCACTAAATGACACTTTTTGTGGCTTCAATATGGTTCAATTCCCTGAAAGAAAGGGTGCAGAATAGTTATTTGTTTTTTTTGGCTCAGGTTTTGGAATTTTTGTTGGCTTTCTTTCCTGATGCCAGCTGCCTTGTATTTGCAACAGTTTGGAACTAGAATCTGTCATTTTGCATGGTATTTGCTACATTTTCACTTTGCATTTTGCATGGTATTTGCTACATTTGGCCATGTCCGCCTTCCATTTTGCATGGTATTTGCAACGTTTTGGCACTTCAACCTCTCATTTGCATGGTATTTGCTACATTTTGGTACTTCAAAGCGTTCATGTGGGTTTCTTGAGAGTTTCTTTAGGGTTTCATTTAGGGTTTCATTTAGGGTTTCTTTAGGGTTTCATTTAGGGTTTCATGTAGGGTTTCATTTAGGGTTTCATGTAGGGTTTCATTTAGGGTTTCTCTAGGTTTAGGGTTTCTTTAGAGTTTCGTTTAGGGTTTCTTTTGGGTTTTTTAGAGTGTCGTTTAGGGTTCTTTAGGATGTCATTTAGGGTTTCATTCAAAATTTCTTTAGGGTTTCATTTATGGTTTCTTTAGGGTTAATTTATGGTTGGTTTCTTTAGGGTTCATTTAGGGTTTCATGTAGGGTTTCTTATCAGGAGTTCTTATCCAGGTTTCTTTTTTAAGGTTTCTTTGGGTTTCACCTAGGGTGTTTTTTTACAAACAGGAGAGGATAAAGCAAAAGAACAGAAAAAACAAAGAGGCAGTAAAGACAGGAAGCAGAGAAGCAAAGGAGCAGGAAGTAGAGCAGCAAAAACACATGACTAAAGAAAAGAACAAATAGAATAGTAGAAGTAGAAAGGCACAGAAGCACAAAGCAGAAAAGCAGAGAAGGAGGGAAAGCAGAGAAGCAGAAAAGAAAAGAAACAGGTAAAGCACAAAAGCAGAAAAGCAGAGAAGCAGGGAAAGCAGAGAAGCAGAAAAGACAAGACGCAGGTAAAGCAGAGAAGCAGACATGCAGAGAAGCAGGAAAAGCAAAAAGCAGAAAAGAAGAAACGCAGAGAAGCAGTAAAGCATAGAACCAGGAACCCAAAAATAATTCCAAAACTTGCCGCAAAAAAAGATACCAAAAAATTTATCAATGGTCATTTCAGGAACCTAAATTGGAGGTACCTACCATACTATATAAATAAGGCATATGTAAGGGAATATCCCCACAAAATATGGCCTTATATGGCACAGTACCTACATTTTAGGACCCTGAAATTCCCATTGAATAAATATATAGCCCTCCCAAAATCCTGATTAATGTTAATGATGTGAGCCCCAATCTTTCTGCTTTGGATTGTCTCATGGCTTTCATCAAAGCAATCTCCCATGCACCTGCAGCTGGTTTGCCTCCTGGTGTGATTCGGTTTGGACGCCAACCAAAAAGTGAACATCCGTTTGGGGCCAGCAGGGTACCAGGGTTTTGACCCGTCCCCAAATGGGTTTCTGAATGTTCATTGGTGGGTTGATATCTCCCTGCTGGTGAACGTCCTATTTAATGATTTATTCTCAATCAGAATAAAAGTAGCAAGTCTCAAAACACTTGCGCGTGACAACAACACCTGGGAAACATATAAACCGGCAAGATTGGGCGTAAACATGTGTAAACTGACAAGCATGGCGATATGAAACAATTTTCAAATGGGGGGTCAGTTAGACAAGCTGATTTCAAAGAAGCAAAGTGCGGTACTGGCTTAGAACCACCGAAAACTTCTGTAATTGGGAGATTTTTGAGACCAACAATTTCAGTCTTTGTGGTTTGCATCAAACATCTTGACGCATGGCTATGGGTCAAAAGCATCTGAACATCAAAATAGCTGGCATATAGATGCATATATAGATGCATGTAGCTGGATGCCCAAATATGGTATACCTGGTATCACAAGTCTCGACCCTTCCCAGGAACACTCTCAGTGTCTCAACCTGCCCGTCCTTCTCCCGTTCTTTCCGGGCATCACGGGAACAGGACACATGCTTCTTTCGCTCGCTCGCCGGGGGGAGTCTCCTTAGTTTTCACAGCTGTCTGTTGGACAGCAACCGGGAAGTGATCAAAGGCCACAGGTCTTCAGATGACCCAACCCCTGAGTCTTCATACCTGATGTCACACCTCAACCTGTGCCGTAAGTGAACTGGCAACCTACTAGTAAAACAGAAGTGCAAACATAAAATGAGGGAAGAACCTTCTGGAAATCAAATGTGGCAATGAAGACTCTTGTAGCTGAATTGTCCGTTTCATAGAAACGGTGAGCCCTGCTCGCCATGTTTGCATGGGGGTAGCAATCAGTTGCCACAACGAGCGTCATTCCTGTCCAGTCGAAAATGCCATCATCGACAAATCCTTCCCTGAGCAGAAACGAACACTTGGAAAACATGGATGGCCTGTGCACTATGGTTTCCCCTTCAAGAAAAACCATGGCAACCAAGCTTGAATTCCCAAGGGTACCTGGCAATAGGATGGAATAGGAACAGTTTTAACCTGATGGATGGTCACTTCAATACCCAAAATTCGTGCGAACTGTGTTTCTGCGGTAGCAACGAATTGACAAATTGAGGGGGGAACCGAATGTGGATGATTGCAAGGGGTCTGTCTGAAAATGGGCCTATCCAAATCGATACAATCCATTTTAGGCCATTATTGACCATTAAATTGTGGTTCCTGGGTGTAGGGATAGCCTATTTTCAGACTGATGCCCTCCTGGCCTCTCGAAGAGTTTGCGGAAAAGGTTTCGCCTCAGGTCGTTCGTTTTTCACTTCTTTTCATTTTTTCACAAGAAGTGGGGTTTCATTCTTCATCAGCAGCTTTGATGAGCAAACATCATTGCCTTTATCTTGCAAACAATTACACCTCTGACTTTTGTACACTATTGTGACAATCAGAGAAGCAAGTAGCAGAGTGAAATTGACATGGCCACTGTCAGCAGACTCGCAACCATGAATGGTTGGCAAGGTGCAAGAAGTCGTAGTTCGGCTTCTCGCTGAATTGCAAGGATCTGCAATACTGCAAAAAAACGCCTCGGGTTCAGCATTTCACCAAGACTGTTCAGAAAGGCTACGAGAAGACTTAGAAAATAGGCAATCTAATTTCAGTGGTAGCAATGAAACATCAAACGGCTGCAATATATATTAATATATATATGCTCACCCCCCAAGAACCACCCAAAACCAAATTTTCATTGGTATTTTCAAAGAAAACAATTGTTTTCTCGCCATCCACTTCACAAATATTTTCCCAAGCATGAAAACACCAAGTACACACTTATACATATTTACACAAATGAAAAGATGCCTATATATGAATGTATGTGCCTGTTTACGTATATGCATCTGCGCCAGCCGCTAGTGATCCTTTTTGGATGCAAGTTATTAGTGGTCTTAAGTTTGCGCCACAAGAATGTTTGCCTACGAGGCAACCAAAAAGCCGGTTCCAAAACCAAACAATATGGTGCAACATATGAACACAGCAGACTATGGACATGACTTGGACAAGTTTTGATTTTGTGAGAGTGAGACAGGCCATGCGTTTCAAATTTACTGGCTTTCTGGTGTGCGGGGCGCAGGTTCCAGAAACTCAGGCGGCTTAATTGGAATATATTGGAATCATGTGGCGGGTGGGGGGCTGGGCCAGGCGGCGTAGTTGGCGCTCGTCGTGGGCTCCTTGAGCACTATCGCGCAGGTGGTGGCGCCTCTTCCCTGAGCCTACGCTCCCACCAGCTAGAGCAGCTAGGGTGGCTTGGCGGAGGCAAGGTCCACGCGGACCTGAGTAGCACGCGGGAGTTCATTGGGAATGCGTGTAAGACACTTGTGCAACACAGTTAAGTACTTGAGCCAAGGCGCTCCCAAAGGTCATCTTCAAATTGTCAGGGCGGAGAGTCTGCCGCAGCCATTGGACAACACAAGATCCGGTGTATAGCGAGGCTCAAGAACGAGCAAGCACTGGCTACCGGGTAGACGAACGGAAGCTGCCCCTTATGCCAGTGTGTCCACTGGGCCGCACGGATTTTGCGCCTCAAGGCGCACGAACCCACGCGACGGGCAGAGTGTTTCAAGTAAGCACGGAGGTGTCCCCAAAATCAGTCAATCACCTGGGTGCCCGCTTTGACGCGAATATTCTTGCCATTCGGCAAATCGTGCGTGCAAAGCTTTGTGTAGTGAGGCCTCACCCATGTCTGCTTGCCATTGATGGGGACCCGCTTCTTCTTGTGCACCACGTTGTCATGAATGACCCCGGGCAACGAAAGTTTGTATGCCTTTGCGCCATCGGTATGTAGGATGACTTGTTGGTCCTGTAAATGCTTCTTGGCTATGGGGAGCCACTCTCGACGACGGATGGGGCCGGGGCTGGGTGACCGAGGCTTTGTGGGGAAGGCTACAATCGAAAGAGCGTCATTGTCTTTGGGTGGCCACGTTCCACGAGGCCCCCCACTTCCCCCATTTCAAAGACGAGCCATCCTCACAGAGCTCTTTGCCTAGTTCCACCTCATCTGCCTCCACATCACACCATTTCTCCACCTTGCCATAGACAATGTCCTTCTCCTTCTTCTCCGCATGTCGCGCACGGGTCACCTCTAAGTTGGCGAAGATTCGAAAGACCGGCTTGTCATCCATGTCTAAGATGAATGACACTGCTGTCACAGGCACTCCAGCTAACACGCACACAAGAACGGCTGCTTGGTGACCAAGAGCAGTAATGGCATTGCCCCTTCCACCAAAGAAAATTGGATGAAAGTCATGTGGCTGGACTCATTGCTTGCAACCCTTGTGACCGCACCGATGGACCCACACTTGCTTTTGCTTGAAGAACTGCAAGGAACCCAGGCGACCAGTTGCACAATGAGGGCAAGTAGTTCCAGTCCAATCCGGGAGGATACCATCCTTGGTCAAATTCTGACTCAACCGTGCCATGCTAGTGAGAGCTTGAACGGAGATGCCATAGCGGGCACGTTCTTTGCGAAACTTGGTTTGCACTCCTGTGGCACGAGTGTAAGGGACAAAGGGCTTCTTGTTCGACTTCTTCCTGGAAGCGGAAGGCCTCTTCATGTTTGCTCTGCTCTGCCCTTGCCTCTTTTGGGCGCAAGCCACGGCGTTCGATACTTCATGGCAAGCTTCGGCATGGCAATGGCAAGTTCAAAACTGCTCTTAAGCAAAGCGAGAGGCCTACAGCAAGAAGCACATGGCTGCAGCAAGCTGAAGATATGCAAGAAATCAATGGCCGCAGCAAGCTAGAGGCATGCAAGAATGGCAAGAAAACCGCATCCACTGATTCGTTTTTCTTTCACATCGAGAATTTCACACTGACAGCTTCACTGAAGACTTTTCAAAAGCAAGAAAAGACATCTGCATGTTCTGCGCACTTGATCTCTTGTAAGGACATGTGTGCAGGGAAGAAACGCCGACTCAATGAAGGAAACAATCTTTTCGACAGACGCTCCAACTACTATGCGATTCCTATGGAAAAATCTCAAGGACTAGCGGTTCCGGATCAGCCCTGAGTGTTCAGCATGTTGTCCATCTCCTGCTCCAGAGCCGCCTCCAACGCATCTTGTTCACCTACACCTGGAAAATCACCGACATCCTCCTCATTGCGCAGACCTGGAAGTGATGGATTCATAGGCACATTGTCAGATCTCTCTGCTCGAGAACGTTTGGAAGGAATTGGGGAATCCAGCTCGATGACCTGCTTCAAAGGCTGGCACTTGAGCCGCTTGAAGACCTGGACCACTTTCTCTTGCTTCACTTTCACCGCCGCTTCTGTTGCAGAAAGAAGGCGTGGGGCTTTCTGAATCTGGCTCATGTCCTGACCAAAGAGGCTACGATGACGGACAGTGATTGTCTTTGGAACGTGTTCACCTTGAAAAAGTTTGTGAAGCAATTCCTGCGACCAGACGGAATCAGCGTGTTACCCATCTGGGAGAGCGTGATTTTCAGGATCTGCTTTGCAGGCCTTGCAGATGGGCTTGTACTTTGCGGCCAAGATGTCTTTTCTTTCATGCCCGGACGTGGCCATGGGATGCACTGCACCTTGAGCCTCTCAGTGCTTGCAACATGGTAATACGCGCCATTGTCAGTGAGCACGATGATGTGCGTGCGGGCAAGAATCGCGGCCATCTTCCGAATCTTCGACGCCAGAGAAGGAAGGAGCAACCATGTGTAGGAAGTCCTTGTGTTCGATGTACCATGTCCTTGTAGCCTCCATCTTCTGGTAGAGCATGGCGCCCTGAACCTTGGTCGAGCTGCGCGGAGGAGTACCGCGCCCACACGGTGGTGTCTTCTTCCTTGGAAGTTTATGAAGCAGATAAAGATTTACAGATTTACGCACGGAAGAGCATGTCAGAGAAACAGCAGACATGCGACGCTAATATTGCAACATGGGCGAAGTAACAGACACATGATCATGAATGGCCAAGGCACCGATGGATTCAAGAAGGCTTTGAGGAAAGACGCATCCATTCGCTGTAGCATCCCGTCATCAAAGACACTGGGCTTGAACTTGGTGATCGGCTCGGCTTTAAAGAAGTCGAGGTGCTCGGCAGTCACAATGGAAGGCACGAGATCTTGTCGATCAGCCTGCGTGATCTCGCACTTGGATTGGGCGAACAAAACTGTTTTTGAGCCCAGAGATTTTCCAACCTGGGTACGCCCAAGCCAGGTGATGGAGTGCTGGCGCATCGGCGCATCGTCGGGAGCATCTTCATGAGGATGTTGTTCAGAAACCCAGCAACGAAGCTCTTGAAAGTCAGCGGCCAATACTCAATGGTTTTAGCATTCTGACGGCCTCGGTAATAGTAGTTGTGAAGAGCTTCCTTGACTTTGGGGGGCAGCCCTGCAAAGGTCCACCAGGAAGATGTACTTGTTCCTCGGCCCACTCCATGAACTGAATCCGGTTGTTAGACCGAGGGCCGTGATGAAGCGATAGCCAGTCTCTCGGTCTGATTGGTCCATGGTTTGTTTCTTCTCAAATTTGGGCGACAGAGCCCAAAGCGTACCTGCATGCCAGCCACACGGTCAGGCAAATAGTTCAGTGCAGAGAGGGCCATGCGAGGCTGCTTGCCCCAATCAAACCGGACTAGACTTCCTTGACAGTATGAGATGCAGTCAGTGGAGAGGACTTTGTTTCGATGCAGGTAGATGTGTTTGAACATGTCCACATACTCCCGATCTTTGCCTGGGGGAAGGTAAGAAGGAACAATGGTGATCTGCATGCTGTATGGCACCTTTGGTACGTCCTTCATGTTGAATGGTTCTGGCAAGTCGCGATACTTGGCCTGGGCACACAAAGGATACAAGGTGTTGTCCAAGAAGTTCTTGTCAATGGTGATGCTCCCAGATGTTGGAAGGTTCTGGGTGATGTCCGCAAATTGCTCTAGCTCTCCGCCTGCGCTGTCGAGGTCACGAACCGTCAGGTCGATAAACGACACATCGCCTCATGGCCGGTCGGACTTGAAAGGCTGCACTTGAGGCCCAGCTAGTTTGAGAGATTGGGTGTGAGAACAGGCCACTTCAGATGAAAGGACACCATCGCATTCCCCCAATGCGTGCCGGAAGCTGTCGATGAAGTTGACGTCGATGTTCGCCATGACGGCAAACGAGGCAAGACCTACGACTGAGAACGAGGGAGGCTGCTGGCAAAGACTGCGGCGCAAGCTTGCTGTGAGGATGGAAGTGTGATGCTTTGGAGTTGGTGTTGTGTTTTTAAGGTCGGGCAATGATGGGCATGATGAGTTGCAAACGAAAGTATAAAGGCCAACCGATACCAGCTCTGAAACAACAAAATGCTACAGAAACAGATTTCATATGTTGTCTGCGGGATCGGTGAGTCCAACCAAGGTTCTGAAAAAATAAAACCCCAAAAGCTCCGGGAAAAAAACAAAAAACACATATGGGTCCAGCCAAGAGTCTCCAAATATTGTTTTTTGTTTTTCCAAGGTTCTTTTCTTTTTTTGGTTTTCTGGATGGGGTTCTCCCCAAAGAGTCTCCAAATATCTATTTTTCGTTTTCTTTTGGTTTTCTGGATGGGGTCCTACCCAAAGAGTCTCCAAATATAGTTTGCTTTTTAGTTTTTTCTGGTTCCTGGTGGTGGTGCGGTGCAGAATAGATGATTCAGATAAACAATGTGGCATTGGAGGTTGTCATTTTTGATGCAGAGACCAGTTGAAGATGATGGCAAGTGTGTCTTGGTTCTGGGGGGGTGGTGTGCAAAGACCAGTTGAAGACTGTGTCAAGTGTAACCAGTTGAAGACTGTGTCAAGTGTGTTTGGGTATAGTTGAAGTTCTTGTGTCAAATGTGTTTTGGGGGGTTCTTGGGGGGGGTGACCATATACATATATATATATACACATAAATTCATATGAATTCCACATTCTAGTTCATTGCTAGGCCAAACAAACATGCCAGAGATGCAAAACTCCTCAGGGTAGCCACGGCCTCAGGACATGATGCAAAACGGCCCCCTCTGACAGATCTGCTGGACCAGAGGACACCATATGTGTCAAACCAGGCAACAGTTGTGTCAAATTACGCCAAGTTAGGAACTCATAGGAACTCAAGAATAGAATTCTTGGACTATCTTGGACTTTTGAGAAAACACACGCCTGCATCACACATATCTAGATGCAGCCGTGCTTCAAAGTTCTTCGTCGGACGTGTCTTGTTTGACACCTTGAGTCCGCGCTCACTTGCCAGCATCCCCGCCAAACAAGCTGCAAAAAGAAGTGGCTTGCAGAGAATTTGCAGCGGACCATTGGGAAATAATAACGCATGATACGTGCACATTCAAGATGGTTGACATATCCATAGGAATTGGGTATGGCTTCATGGTGATGTAGCAAAGCTACCACAACCTTGATCATTTTCAGCAGTGCACAATCTACGTATTCATACACATCACTTATTTTCAATGTCTCCAAACTGAATTTTGGATGCAGCATTGACCCGCCCAGTTTTGGCCCTGTCCCGTCTCCATGCCATGCTCCATCTCTGCTGGGGCACCGCTGATGGCCTTGTGCTTGGACTTCTTGGACCTTGCTTTCAGGCCCAGCCAAGGTAGGTCACCTGGCTGCCCATGAGCTGCCCAAGGTAGGTCACAAACTGCACTGACAATCGGGTCATCTTGAGATCTGAGGCGCTTGGCCTCGAAGGAAATGCATCAGCATATATCCTTGGAAGACACTTGAACCACATTTTCCAGGATCCAGGCGAGGGCAAATGAAAACCCTGAAACATCCAGAAACCTGGTCTTTGTCCCAACATTGACCAAACCTTGGACTTTATGGGATGCTTTTTTATCTTTGGGATACAAAGTCACAGGCTGATTCGTGCAGACAGGAGATCGGGATACTGCGTCCTGGTAAACATCTATGTTATCTATCTCTATATCTACCTGTCAGTCAGCCAGGCAGCCCAGTCAGTCTATCCATCCGTCCATCTGAGGATCTTTTTTTTGCAATTGAACTACTCGACACTCAAAAGCCTTGTGAAGTACAAATCTTTTGGCCGTGCCTGTAGCTTCCAAATCATCTCGACGGGAAGGCTCAACTCCCTCATGCACGTTGATGCTGGAATACCTAAAAACCATTTCAGATTTCAGATGGAGCGCGGTATTTGCACACTTTCAAGCAATGCAAACCAATCTTGAGTCTTGACAGTAGCTCACTTGCGATGCTACAAAGGGGTACCAGTATTGTGTGAATCAGCAAACATCAGAGTTCCCGACCTCACCGTGCCTCAGGAGCAACGAACAGTATCTCCACCAAGCAACGGTGATGTTGTCTAAACTAGGATCAACATGGAGATTTACAAGATCGCCTATCAGAAGAAAACACGCAGCTGCAAGCTTGGTGGATCTTGGTGCTGGTTCAGCCATCTCCCTTGAAAACACAAGCTTTTGGGGATCATCATCCCCTCCTTGCCACTGAGATGCCAGTGATACCAGTCCTTTTTCTGCTGGAGCAGGAAACGTGCCTGAAAGCACGGCCATTTGGTGCAAAGATGTGCAAAGTTTCACATAATAGGGCGTCCCATTCCATCCCATGGTTTAGAGTTTAGAACTTCATTTTAACCCATTAAAATGGCCTTCTGAATGGGGGGTCCATCCCCTCATTTTCAGACCCATTTGGACCTTCCCCAGAGTTGCACGGTGGAAACCGCTGAGGCTGCGGCCGTCCGGTCTTGTCAACATATCCTTGGTGGACTTCTCACACCAGCAGCTATGCTAAACCAACCATTCTGAGGTACCCCGACTTTTAGAAACACCTATTTGGGGCTCGGACATGCAAATGAGCCATTAGTCGTAGACACCACGAGACTCCACGCAACATGTGTGGCCATATCCTCCAATCACGAACTAATCACTAGTCTCAGACCCCTGAAATCTCAGCTTTCGGTAGAGAAAGCTGGTGAAGCCAAAGGGCTTTTGGCCAAACCAAAATCTACGATGTACACTCGCGCGGAGTCTTCCTCAAATCCGGGCAGTGAACGAAATTTCGGCCAGCCGGAATTTTCCAAGCAGGAAAACACACATTTCTTCAAAGGGCATTTTTTGTACCTTCGAGAGCAAAGTCATTGGAGTTTGGGCTCTATTGATGTCTGTCATATTGATTCTTGATCTATCCTGAGGCCCCAGCTCCAAGTCCCATTAAAAAGTTGTGTGGCCTCGGATGTCGGTCATCCTCTGGGGATCCAGGACATCTCGGATGCCGGATGATGCCGGAGCCAAGCAACTTGATGTCGCGGTACAACAAACCGCAGTTGTGCACGTATTCGAGCCGGTCAATGATCCTGGGCGACAGTCGCATCGAAAAGCCACCTGGAACACATTGCGAAACCACAAAGGTTGATGGATGCTCAATGAATCAACGTATTCAATCCTACTCATCTCTATTGTTCCTTTCCATTCTTCAGTTTGGCAACCAGGCATATCAGTGATGAACAGACTTAGTTGATCTGAATTGTAACTTTAGGTTTTAAACAAGTACCCAAATCTTGTTGGCTCCGGTCCCAAACCTTTGTCGGAAGATTGCAGCTGAGTATCTGAATTGCCAAAGTCAGGATGGTTTTGAGGCTGAATTGCTTGCCTCAGGACGAAACACCAACACCTTCAAATAATTTTCCGGAACATCCATAAGGGGTTGTAGAATGACTATTGTCGGTGTTGTTACTATTCATTAGTATCATCTATTACAATGAAATAATCATTATTGTTCATTATTATTATTATCACTATTATCATTATTATCATTACTATCATCATTACCACTATTATCATTATCATTATCATCGTAATTATTGTCATTATCATCATCATTCTTATATCAATATCAATTATATATATATATTATACATGGTACGTATCATGCACATACTGGCACATACACCATACGTATGTGTCAGAAATCAACCATACTGATTGTACAGGTTCAGGCTACAGCGGAACATTCGAACTGATTCATCACCGATATCACGGCTCGGACCACACTGTTCATCTTCAACATACCGTTCAGCTTTTGAAGCAGTGATTTTTGGGTCATTTCTAGAATTAATATGAATTGATCATCCAATTTTTTTCGGGCAGCTCATTTTCCTTCATTTTCACAGCCGTGCCATCCTGTGCAGCGACCAGGTAACAGTGCTTGAAGTAAGCGTCCAATGATGGACCTAGAAGATCCATCACCATGAAGTTGTACTCACCCTGGGAGCCAATCCATCCTGAGTCGCGTCGCGAATGACTTCAGGGAACACTTAAAGGGGAGATGGTCATATTTCTCCATTTAAGGCATGCAAGAAATCGCCCTTGTATTCCACTATATCCTCATTTATACCACAATTTTTGCTAGTTAAATCACCAAAATTGATGAATATCCCATTAGATCACCATTGATCTTCCATTTTTCATCACCACAAAATCACCAGAACAAAACACACATCTGAAATGCACAGATTGCCAAGTCTCTGATGTTTGGCGCCTGGCGAAGTGCGCCCAAGAAATGCTTTGGACCAATCCCATGGGGAGATCGTAACACACCAAAACCACCATGGCCTGGAGAAATTCGTTTGGTTAGTCTGACATTTTCGGGAAAAAAACACCCCAAACTTGATGGTTCATCATCGCTTCTTGCTCTAAACTAGCATTTTTTTTGGGGTATACCCCATTTTCAGACATAGCCAAATATCAAGTGCTTGCTCCTATCGCGTGATTTCCCCAGTATAACTCTAATTTACCCAAATGTTAATGGTTCAACAGCCCCTTCTGATGGTTGCTTGAGCCATGAACAATACCACTGTCCCATCCCATTATACTGCTTGGGTATCTGCAGTATCCCTATGAAATGGATTATCATAATCACCAACAAAACATACAGTTAGTATAAACCTCCACTAATAACAGTTATGTGCGATACTAATTAGCATGGTTCTTCATCAATCAAGTGAAGAATAGTAACTATAGTAAAACCAGAAATATGATTAACATTGATTAACCATTAACCATACTTAACCATAGTTATTAGGGCATTTTTTAAAAATCCCCCGTTTAAATAACCAATGGACAGGCGACGTTTCGCCAGGCCGCCACGACGCCCAGCGACGCCCAGCGCCTCGCCGCTGTGCAGCCCCAAGGCTTCGTAGAACTTGCCCTCTCCAAGCCTTAGGGCTGAGCCAAGGTGTATCAAACAAGAATAAAACAGCACCATAGAGCACCATGTTGTATTATAACATATATATATACATCTCACATATGTATATATATATATGTATACACACATATGTAATATATATATATATACGTAATATATACAATATATATATATATATGATATATGTATATACATACACGTATGTACGGATGAGCCACACACACACATGTATACAGTAGATGCTATATATAGATATTGTTATTATATATCAACTCAACTTGATGTATCCCGATTTTTCGGTGAAATCAAATGATTGCAATAACATGCAATAACATGCAATAACATGCAATAGCGCTTTAGCATCTTCAATAAACTGACACTTCCTTTGAACATCTTTGAACCGTACGTGTAAAGGATAGTTCAGGGGCCTGTTTCGACACAATGCTTGGGAATGAGATTGAGATGACTTGCTGGTGATTCTGGAAGACCTGTAAAATTCAGGCCCCGGCAATTTGTTTCCTTTTTCTGCAAGCTGCCATTCCTGTTAGCTGCTGAACTGCAGGGGATACATGCCTGCATGATCATATCTTTATCAGTGTGTAAAACCTCCTGCAAACGTTGGTGTCAAGGCGAAAACCAAACCCTTTCCAGTTGAGTGAACAAGGAATGGCACATTCAAGAGTTCTCTATTGGATGATTTGCAGGGAAGCATCTGCAAAGGTTTACATTCACTGACTCGACATCTCTGGATGCACACTGAGGCCAAGTCAACCTTCACAGCTACATTGTCACCTGTTTTCGAGAGCACACAGTTGGGTTCGACTCGATTCGAATGTTGGGACTGCGAACAACGATTAACAACTAGAACCGATACACATTGGACAAGATCAAGTTGAACGACCGACAACCTATATATAGCTCCAATGGTTTGTCATGGTTTGTCTGAAAATAGTGCTCCAAATCCCTTGGGATCATCGTGGCTGGGAATGTCCACAGCCCATGGGCCCTACATGGGCCATTTTGATTCACTTTCCGTAGACATGTTCATACTGTAAGATTACCAGAGGGTCATCTAGATATTGGATGATATTGGTATTTAACATTATTTAACCATCAAACGTATGGCTTCAACCAACGACAAACGAGGAGATCATAGCAGCTTTCAGCTTCTGGAGCCTGTCTTCTCATCAACACCAAGGTAAACCTCACTGTAGGATCCAGAACCAATTTCCCCTTGGAGTCGATACCGTCCCGCCACCTGGGAACCGAAGATGGATTTGGGCGAACAGAAAACTATTGAAATGAAGAGGTTTCTCATCATGACTTGAGCTGAATTTGGTGATTCAAAGGTGACATCTCAGAAGTCCATAGGTCCATAGGTGACTCATTTGCAAATGGGAAGAGTTTGGGTTGCAAAGGGTAAAATTGTCAAAGACGGTCAAAGTAAACATGGCAAACTCGTGGAAGGTATGGAGCCACCAACTCTTACCCACACTCAACTTGTTATTGCAACAAATTTGACACGGCGGCTGAGCTTCAAGCCAACTGTGGCAAAGGCGGTGGATGGATAGAGGAAGCCTCTGACTCCTAGTCAAAGTGGTAAACATGGGAATCCTGGGTTTTCATCCCCAGGTTTTTAAATTGTTTTGACCCAAAATTTCAGTTTCCAATTTCATACTTTCACCCAGAAGCTCTGCGCAGTACTGCCAGCTGGGTGTTGGAAGCATGAGCCACCCATGTCGCATCCCAAAATACGCTCGTCGCCTGAATCATCCCCAATAAATCATTTTGCCCCAGTTTTCTCTCCATTTTTCCAGGTTGGATTCCGCTTTGCCCCTTGCCCCTTGTTGAAGGTCGTCCTCCGTCTCCTCTTCAGACTCTTCCTCTTCTCCTGGCCAACCAGATCACAGGGTTTCACACCATCCAGAACTGGGTGACCAAGAAGCCATGCAGTTGATCACCAAACGGTCACAAACAGCCTTCTACTCTGGCTTTCATTTTAAAAAAAAGGGATATTCTGCGGGATATTATAGGCTTAAAGTTGTGTTACTCCAAATCATATAAAATCCGAAACATGGAAATCTGTAAGTCTCCAAATTGCTACTCCCCGGTGGATCACCCCCCTTCCCCAACCACGTAGCACGGCCCGGCCCAGCTCTCCCGCAGCTGTAGTGTAGCTGGACTTCACCAAGGACATGGCTTTCAGTGCAATGGGGAAGTGCAAACCGCCCGGTCAAAAATCTCGAAAGTTCCTGGAATGCTTCTGAGAATGATCATCTAAACTGGTAAGATAATGATAATGGCAATAATGCACTAGTTCCTGCAATGATAATGATAATTGCAATGATAATGACAATGATAATGATATTGATAATGGTTCCTGCTGAAGTTCCTGATCTTTTTTTTCCTTTTTTTCTTTTTTTAAACTGCGACTAGGACAGCTGCTAATGTTGCTCATGGCTAGATGCAGGGCTGTTGTTTTTGTGTCTGTCTTATGCTGGCCCATGCCACGCATGCTGACAGTTCTTTCCATGCTGAGTAGGGAGTAAACGGTCATAGATCAGTTCACTGGTGGGTCTGGAAGGTATGGCTTGAGTGGAGTCTGCAAAAAGGCCCAGCATAGCAAAGCAAAAAGGATACATGATCTGCCAATGTCAGAGCCCCCAAGCGAAGCTCTTTGATGTGGTTGGCTGCAGAGACGCAATGCACAGATATTCACAGGATCTGTGGTTGTACTGAACTCATTGCAGATCATTGGAGCCATACCCAAAAAAAAATTGCTTCTTGATATAAATGGGTACCCCAAAACATAACGGTTTCCCTATTAAAAATGACACAATTTGTATTATCTTGGCCTTCCCTGTTCCAGGAACACCCCCTAATATCGAAAACACAACCCGATGATTTTCCAATATGTATATATGTATATATATATGTATATTCCCATGATTGTTGGTTCCAAGTTGGTCAAATCATGTCAAATCCCTATTTTTGATGTTTAAGTAATTTAAGTATCAAAAATCCAGTTCCAACACAATGCACTCTGCCTGGCCCATCAGCCGGCGATCACAGCTAGCCAAACCTGCCTGCAGGTTTGGCTCGGCGACATCGCGTGAAACAATGTCCCGAAGCCCAAGGATGATCCGGATCGTTCACAAGCTTGGCAATCTACAAGATAGAACAAATACATGATTATAATACATGATAGTAAAACATAGTAAAACATCATATCACTCATCACTTTATATCAGCCATAAAACAAGTAGAACAACCACCAGCAAACATTGGAATCCACAGCTAGGCTGCCGGCGCTCCATTTGGGTGTCCATTGGCATAAGTCCTCGACACAATGGGAACCACTGGTCCACTGGATGGTGGCAGATAACATTTTCATCCCAGGCTTGGTGGTTTCAAAGTTTCAGCACTCAAAGTTTCTTTGTTCAACTCATCCCCAGCAGTTGATGTGGGTTTCAGTCAAGTCCTCTGGGACGCCCTTTTTTATCACCGCAGTTTTCCATACATCAGACTCTGAACTTGGCATTTCATTTGATCCAAACATCAACTGTGGTTTAACGCCCTGAAAGCATTGGAAATTTGGAACCAAAGGTGGTTGGTGGTTTCAACCCCTCTGAAAAATATGAAAGTCAATTGAGATGATTATTCCATATTATTCCCAATATATGGAAAGTCATAAAATTCATGTTCCAAACCACCAACCAGAAAGGTGGTTAAACACATGGTTTTCTTCTGTTTCGAAGCCTTAAAAAGCCTCAGTTGCACAGCTTCAGCTTGCTACCAAGCTTCATCTCGGAAGTTATGTGTTCAACCGTTGGGACAACGGTCGTGGCCGGTTGGACGGGCACAGCCCACACAAGAACAGAACCGTCGAGGCCTGAGATTTTCATGAAGGAATTCTGCAAGTTCCCGGGAAGTGTCACTGTAATTTTCAAGTGTCCACTTAGTCCACTTCGATTCATATCGGGAACTGTGAAATCATGTTGATTTTGTGTCATAAAACTTTGACTCTCTAGAACTTCGCAAAGCTGAACATGTACACAGCGCCCTCTGTTTTGACCTACTTCTGTGTGTTAGCGGCGTTAGCGGTCCGAACCAGTGCGCCAACAATTCATCGGACCACTACTGTATCACTATCATTGGGTGTTGCTCCTGCATGGTTGGCTACAACTCTTCACAACTGTCTCCAGCAGGAGACAGCTAGCTTCATCACAAGGACATTCCATGGTCGGATACTTATGTCAATGGATTGGTTTAAGGGAAAATCTACAGGAAACCATGGTTTTTACCATCACATATAGGGTTTTCCGGACCTGCAAATTTTCCCATCATCCAATTCCATGATTATGCCAATGGTGCTTTAGTACAGCTCCAGGGGTGGTTAAGCATCCACAAAAAATCCTGAGATCCACCCAATCGACGAGACGGGGGATTATCATAAGGCCGTTGCCTAAAAAATCACCATTAATATAAACCACTTACGACATGGACATCTATGGACGATATGGACGACTGACATCTCTATGTTTTCGCGCCTGTGGTCACCAGATTTGGAGCTTGGCATTCAGCTTCCGCACCTCCAGCCATGGCGAGCCATGGCATATGGCATCCCCCAGCGGAAAGTATCCAATCCATGGAGGCTTACTTTGGATGGGAATCCCATAGCCTCTGGTAATGACTAACATAGCTATGGCATCTATGGAAAATCACCATCTATAATTCGTAAATGATCTATGAAATATCTATGAAAAATGATCCTCTTTGCGATGCTCGAAAAAACCCGGAGGGTTTTTTAGAAATTCGCCTGCGGAAATCAATGCGATTTCCATGGGATGTTTCCGGCGAAGTACACCTCCATGGATCGGAGATTTTCCAGCCATGGAATTGATGACACCAGAGGGGAATGACTTAACCCACCATAGTGACTTCATGATCTTCACGATTCTCTAACCGACAAAAAGAGGGGACCACATGTTGTTTTTCCCCATATTTTTTCAGATGGGAAGGAACCACATTCCTGAAAACCCAGAGCTGCGGTAGGACACCTGTCCGGTCCCCGGAATGACCTGTGGATCTGGTCCCCGTCACCAGTATCGGCATGGCTGCCTGACAAAGCACTGAGCGATACCATGACTGCACACAGTGTTTCCACATAAGAATGAGGAGATACCGCAATGACTGCTTTCCATAAAAGAACAAAAAACCAAACATCTTGCCAAATTCTTGGTGTTTTGAGCTCAAAACACAGTAGTTATTTTGTTGCTAAATATTTGTGTCGCTTATTTAACGCCTGTTTTTGCATGTTTTTGGAATGTTCCAAACTCTTGGAGACACCCACAGGCCATTCCGAAACAATTCATGGCCACAGCCGCAGTTACTGCAGAAAGCCTCTGGCTGACAGGCTTGCTCCACGGGTTCCTGCCACTGCACAGCATGTGAAAGCAACATGGTTGGGGCATGTGAATACAATACCTTTAGGGGAAAAACATGAAAAAACCATAAAAACCAAACAAACCAAAAAACGATGTCCTGCTTCTTTTCTTTCCGCCAATGCAAGCTTCTGATACAGAGACTGAAAATCACTGCCCTTTTTGTCAAACCTATTGCATGGCCATGAATCTAATTCACTGAACACCACAACGCCAGCATTTTTTCCTTTCTCAATCCAACTCACCTATTCCAACAAAACACAACCATACAAAACCAAATACGAACAGCATCTTTTGGACTGCCTGAACATCATGAATTAGAACAAAGTAATATTCCGATGATATCCAGTATATCCAGTTCCCCAGAAAAAACAATCTGCAAAGAAACACCACTTCCTTCAACCAGCGCGTGGCACAACAGCCGCCCAACTCGACATCCTGCGGCCCTGGAGTGCTCAGCAGGGGCCACTGGCCTGTAGTTCCAGGAGTTTTGATGATTTTTGGCTATTCAAAATGCTGATTTTCTAGCAAACTCTTAGTCCAGTGATTTTCAATATCAACCTGTTCCATCTGTTAGATGTAACCAGTGGGTCAGGATATTAGATGTCATCCAACAAAATCAATGCCTTTCCCAGACAAAATAACAACGAGAAACAGCGCACAGCGTGGCCTTGTTGAGGATATCCGCTGTCCATGAAGGATGTCTGGCACGCGTATCATAGCTCAAGCATGAGAATTTGATGGAATTTCACTGAGGGACTGAGGGTCAATCGCAAGTACCAATCTTTTCAAGGGTCTCCATCATTTCCAACCGTGGAGACAAACCTTCCACACAGGTCATTGCTACCGTTTCTCATTTCTACCGAACCCAATATCCATCCCCTAGGTCCTGTAGTTGACTGAAATACTCCGTAAAACTCAGAATCTTATGGTTGATCATCATGTTTCCCACTATTTTTGATGGCCATTTCTGCTGGTGGTAGATCTCCCAAATTGACACAACCCCCAGCCAGCCATATCTGTGGCTGGTTACCCTCCGTAACTTTGTCAAATGTGGCTGGGAATCTGGGAAATCCCCTCGCATCCATGGGAAAATCCATGGGAAAATCATCATCGTTTCCGTTGAAAACTCTCGTTATTTTCCCATGGATTTTTTTCCCATGGATTTTCCATGGATTTTCCATGATTTTCCATGATTTTCCAGGATTTTCCATTATTTCCCATGGATTTTCCATTATTTTCCATGGATTTTCCATTATTTTCCATGATTTTCCTGGATTTTCCATGGTCATGGTTGATTACCTTTCAGGGTATCCCAATTTTTGTGAATTTTCAGTACCTGAAATCCTCCCATTCTTGAGATCTTCGGCCGAGTGCCACAACGCCTCTTCCCAGCTGGGCAAATCGCTGGGCGGATAGCCCTGGCATCGCACAGCATTTTCATCCATTTTCTGCAGGTCAAACATGCAAAAATGGATAAAAATGGGCAAGTTCCCTATCCATTTCTCCTGGGGAGATCATTTTTGAAGCATAACAACATATAACAACACCAGTACAGTAACCAGCGGAAACCGAACCTCATCCCAAGCACCTGAATCAATGAGACACGGCCCTACAGGAACCGAACTTGCAAAGGAATCAACTGACACACTCCAACCACTCTAAGTTCCTTACCTTCATGGTGAGCCTGGCATGATGCCACCAAGGAAACAATCCAACAATGAACACTGGGCCTCCCATCTGCATAGTATGGACATGGTTCAAAAACGTTGACGCCCCCAACTGGATGTCGAAAAAAAAAACAAGCATTGGTGCATCCATTTTAAATTTTGTGCCTCATTTTTGAATCATGACCATTTGATTCCTGCATACCAACCACATATCCCAACTATTTCTAAAGTAGTACCTTTGAGTTGCACCCAAACATCCAACAACAAATGGCACCTGAGAATCCTCGGTCCAGTAGTTGTAGCTGTAGCCTGCCATTAACATTTCTGCAACTTAGCAAAGGACCAAATGTAGCAGCACCAATGACAATTGATTTCGCTGGTTTACATTCTTGGAAACCACGTTTTCGCACTCGAAACAGGTCAGCATTCATCTTGCCTCCTTGAAAATAATTGCCGCTGCCTGCCGAAAAACGACCAGAACTGGACAGCGCTGCAAATGGCGACATGTGTGCGTGTATATGTGTATATGTGTGTATGTGTGTGTATGTGTGTGTGTATGTGTGTCTGTCTGCATGTCTGTCTGTCTGTCATTCATTCATGCACGCATGCATGTATGCAATGCAATGCAATGCAATGCCATGCAATGCCATGCAATGTGATGTAATAATAGACCTGTGCATCATACATCTTCGCTACCTGCCACAACCCAAGCTGAGCCAATGTCACAACACCATCAAACGCCTGTGCCATCCGTGTGGAAGGACGTGGCTGTGGACGCTTCGGAATATGCGATGGAGCGAAAGCGCTTGGGACCGTCCTGGGTGACCTGGGCCCGCGGCTGCTTCTATTGAAATATGATGGATATTCATCTGGTAAACAGACAACAAACTATGGAAAATCACCATTTTTAATAGGCAAATCAACCATAAATGGCCATTTTCAATAGCTATGTTAAATTACCAGAGGGTATTCATATGATTTACTCCATCAACTGGTGATTCTGCCGATGCTCCTGATGCTCCTGATGCTGCTGCCCATGATTATCATGATGATCCTCCTCCTCATCATCCTCCCCCTCATCTTTCATGAAACTGTTTCAACCATGGTCAATCTTTGGTAGTCCACCAAAAAATAATCCTTTGCTCTGTTTATTTTCCATGTATAGCCAAAAACTAAAGGACATTCAAGGGACTAAACTACCTATAACTACCTATCCAGTCGGTGATGCAACCAACAACTTCCGTTCCCCTGACCTGGAAGTAGAGTTCCAGCGTTGCCAAGGCATCACTCCCCGCGGTGTGAGGAGTGCCGTGCCGCTCTACACCTCGGTGGGAGTGGCATCAGTGGCATCAGTGGCATCGGTGGCATCGGTGGCTCGGAGTGGCACCGCTCGTGATGGATTTAACCATCAAACATGGGCATCAAATCAGCCAAAATGAGGATCGAAGCGTCAAAATAGGGCATAAACATCATAAACCCTGGAATTCACGATGAAAGTTGAGGATCTCACCGGCGAAACTGACGGTTTAAAGTTTAACCGAAGAACAATGGGGATTATGGCAGCAAAAATAGGGGGTTGGTGGACATTTTAGTTATCAAACATGGTCATTCATCCCTCAGACATGCAGACGAAATTGGCTGAAGCCTCTGGTAATCCAACATGGCAATCGATTTCACATGGCCAGTTTTGATTCGGGAACCCAAGCCCCTGGATTTTCCCGATAATCATTTGGTATGATATATATATATATACATTATATAATTATATAATCTACTGTATACATATATATATATTGATATATATATATTATAATGTAATATAATATAATATAGTATAATATAAAATAATACAATACAATACAATATAATATAATATAATATAATATAATATAACACAATAAAATATAACATAATATAATATAATACAATATAATATGATACAATACAATATAATATAATATGATATGATACAATATGATACAATATGATATGATACAATATGATACAATATGATATGATACAATATGATACAATATAATATAATACAATATAATATAATGTAATATAATATAATATAATATAATATATAAACCATTCCCAGTCATGGGTGGTTTCTATCACCCAGGTAAGGCCCGACGATCACTTGGTGCCCGACCAAACTCCCGTAGGAGGCTGTCTAAGGAGCCTCTGGGAAGCTCGTCTCGAAGCCTCAGGGATTTCCGTGGTGCCATGGGTCAAGTTATGTGGCTTCCAACCATCAAGACTAGTGACACATGGCGGTTTAGTGATCAAACATGGGATATTCATGGGTACAGTAACTATGGTAGATATATCTATCTATCTATCTATCTATATATTAGCAACACAAAAAAGTGCCGAGGTCAGGTTATGTGTGATGAATGAGATAATCATACTTAAGTCCATCAACACACATGGGACTCAACAAACATGGGATAGTTATGGATAGTTTTCGGATTCATTGTGGTCATCCGTCCGCCAAATCCCATGAGATCATGGAATGTCCACGGAATGATGCCCTCAGGAACCAACTCGTAGCGGTTGGGGAAGTAGCTGATTTGCAGCTCCTGAAGCTCGTCACTTGATGAGCAAAAAGGACTGGTCATTGGGAAACTATATCAGATATTTTTTCGGTACTTCTATTTTCAGACACACCCACATCTATATCTATGTATATATATATATGTATAATAATATATATATATGTACATACGAGTATATTTGATATATATATATAAAACACATAAATAATCATAAATACATAGTTAAGTTATATAATTGATAATAATTGATTATCATTGTATGGGCATGCATTGCCTAAGGAACCGGTTTCCCTACAACTGGGTTTCTTTCTTACACATAACATACTCCGCATTGACCACGGGATGTGCGCCCCGCTATGAAGGGCGAACAAACAATTCTTGGCTCAGATGTTGAGCTTTGTGCACAGTCTTCTCACCTTTCCACCCAGCAAATTAAAATCGCCACAGTACACATGTCCGAAGAGCATCGCGTTCCCCCTCTTGCCGCATCTTGCCATGAGCTGCTATCATCAAGAGCAAGTTGACGGAAAGGAGCGCTCTCAAGGTACGCACAATCTGTCAGACGATCCAATCATTCGGTCAACATTGACCAGAATACCACTCGATTAGGATCAGGAACTCAAGACAATGGATTGGTTTTTCAGGAACATCTACAGGAAACCATGGATTTTTCGAATCAAAATTTTGGGGCCAAGCCTGGAAGCTTTCCCTTCAACCAATCCATTGATCACGACAATTCAGATGTCCTCAAAGTACGACAGGTTTGCAGGCAGTCGCCGACCAGTCAAAGACGGAGCATGTACCTCTCAGAGGTCGTGGAATGGCTAGACAGACATCCACTGTCTGGATCCATACACACAGTGAAAAATAGATCCAGACTGGTCCATACAGTATAGAATAGATTGGAATAGTAGATCTTTTTATTTCATCCCTTACCATTTTTCATCTCAGATCAAGACTTGAGCCATACCTAATCACATATTCCCTTTTCTCATCCAGATCTGTGTGCCATGTCATGTTCCATGACCATCACCGGCGCACCCGAAGTCATAGGCCCCCTGGAAGGTGACCCAACGGTGTTTAGATGCCCCGCCTGTCGGCTGTCTCCATGTTTTTCAACATTTTCTGTGATCCTGTCCGTGACATATCATGACATGTTAACACTTGTTAATACATATGGGTTTGTCTGAAAATAGGGTATATTCCCAAACAAATACAGTAGCCATTTAATAGGGATAATGATCAGCAAAACCATTGGCTTTAGGGCTACACAACATTTTCAGACACCATATGCCTAGACAGAGGTGACATGTTACGGAAAGCCATCGTTCTGTCCCGGTCCCGTCTTGTGATGTCAACCGCTGCCTCCCAAGGTCGAGGCCCGAAGCCTCCGGCCGATGGTGCCCTGACAGCACCGAGATTTGTCACCAAAGTTCACTGAAATGGCTATGGGTCATGGCACCCTGGTACCGTGCCGTGAACCCCAAGTCATAGCTGGGTTAAAATGGATGTGAATAACCCACTAAAAATATGTATCTTTTTGGGTATTGACCCATACCCTTAAATCTGCCATTTATGGATATTTTAATGGTGGATATTAATGTGGATATCACTTCACATGACCAAATATGACCAAATAATATGACCAACCATAATAGTGAAACATCGAGACCCTTTGGGATCCCCAAAATCTAGCAATTTCTTTGTGGTCTGTAGATGTCTGTAGGGGGACTACCAGACATCAGGATACCGAGGATGGACCTGTTTTTTTTTGTCCAGGGCTCAAACTTAATGAACTTCTGAACAATCAAGCGTGGATCATGGATCAAGGGGTTTCAAACCCGCAAACAAACATAGCTGACTGATCCATCTGATCAAAATTGTACTCAAACATGGTCTGAACATGTCTGAAGTATCGTCAACTTCTAGCGAATCAATGGGGGAAATGATCCGACATGTTTCACCGTTTCAGCGTTTCACCCACTGTATGATCAACTGACAATACTGTTGGTTGCCTACCCAGAGCATCCCAATCAAGAAATGGCCCTAAGGGGACGGGTCGAAATTGGGACGGACCAACATTTCTACCAGCCATGAAGGTGATAATGTATGGTTACGCCCCATCACTTTTCTTGCTGATATCCGGTTAAACTACTTAAACTAACGAAACATTCCAACCAATAGCCATCTCCAAACATCATTTTGGATCATTGAATCATCGCACAAATCCTGATGTTTGTTACTTAGATCATCTAACAAGCCCATACATTTATCATACATCCGCATAAATTCATCAAACATGTCCCATAAATTCATCATCAATCCACCCATTTCCAGCACCTCACCCCGCTGCCCCCAAACCATGTTTGATTACTGTACCAGATTGTATATAAACGGAATCATTTCTGGTTGGTGGTTTTAACCATCTTGAAAAATATTAGTCAATGGGAAGGATTCTCCCATATATTATGGAAACAAAAAAATGGTTGAAACCACCAACCAGATTTGGACGAGAAATCATGATTTGAAGTAGCCAACTTGAAATCCTTTCGAATAAAATTAAGTTTCTTGGTCGCTTATGTGATATAAAATGACCTCAATATTTCAGCCGTTTACCGTTCCCCCAGCAAACCAGTTTGAAATCGTATTACTTAATATTACTTCATATGACTTAGACATCCTTAGATCATGCTAATATCTAATAGCATCTAATAGCTTAACATGGCTTACCCTCTGGTAATTTAACGTAGCTATTGGAAATGGCCCATTTAGTTTGTTACTTTACCTATTCAACATGCTGATTTTCCAGTTCGCAAACTCTTAATTTACCAGAGGGTATATCCACTAACAACCCTGTTTTTTGGTTGATGAAACCCCTATAATCACCATTAAATCACCATTAAATCACATTAAACCATATTAAACCACCATGAAATCCCACTAAACCACCATTTATATGGGGCTTTCGCCTTAAATGGCTCCGTCCTCACCATGACCCCGGGGCATCCGCACCGGCTCGATGCCCTCCTCAGCGTGCCGGGTGAAGTCCAAGCCCGCGGCGGCCAAGAAATTCATCGAGGCCTGGAGGAGTAGATGGCTGATTTCCTGGTGATTTCCTGGTGATTTTATGGTGATTTTATGGTGATTTCCTGGTGATTTTATGGTGATTCTATGGTGATTTATGCTTATTCTATGGTGATTTTTATGATTATATATTCATAGAGGGATACAAATATTCAACCAATCATGAATCAACCTTTTTGGGGATAGTCGGATAGTCTATGAATCACCATTTACCGTTATAGATGTTTCATCCTGGCCTTCGTGGCTTTTTATGATTCTTTATGGTTGTAAACAGTCATTCATGATGGTTTCCTGTACCTATGGGCCATCTATGATTCATTGTGGTTATTGAGTTGTTCTATGTTGTTCTTGGGTTGAAGGGATACACAATGACAAACACCATGAATGGGCCAATCCATGACAATGACAATGAGATATATATATATACTATTATATTATATACTGTAATATATTATATTACTATATATATATATAGTATATAGGAGTCATTATTGAAAGCACATAACATAGCTGGGCATTTCCCCTGTAAGCGATGCACACTTCTCAACCGTGAAAGGGGATGCACTATCTCAACCATCCCAAGTATGTGCAGGGTATGAGAGGGGACTTACAACTGGAGTACTGAAAATAGATTGGGTTTGCCACACGAGATGACCATAACGCGATGATGACAAAGAGCGGGCTGTCATGGGGACATCCCAAGCCGACCAAGAAACAGATTGGAGCACAGTGAAGAAGATATGATGATCATAACGAGGATGAGTACGGTTTTGTTCGTTCAATCTTACGCAATGACTGGATATCACATTTGCGTCACAGCTGAACTAGTCCGACAGATACATTCAGTATGTTGCTACGTGAAAGAGACTCTGCTCTCACCTCATGTGTGAAGCTAAGGTCCTATTGTGCCAGTGCAAGAACACCCCTTTGCCTCCGAGTAGAGGTCTGTCCAAACCTCAACTGCGTGCCAGGTTGGAGAACAGGTCAGCCCTGGTACCAGCTCCAACCTGGTGCCACTGAGCTTGCAACATTGAAGAGAAGGTTGAAGCACCAAGTCCTGCGTCAGATGAAACAAGAGCCACGAACACATCATTTTCGGATGGGCAAAGCCAGGCAAATACAAATAAATACCTAACAATGATCAATGTTGTGGGTCCATTCGTGCCCCATGTTTGAGCCATTTAGCCACATCGTTTTGAAGGCAAACTCAAACTCATCACATGAGATCATGCAAACTCGATTTGGTGAGCACGCTGCAAGCATCACCATTTCAGGCTTTCTTTGCGCACGTCAAGAAAGGGCTGTCCCGCGCAGTCTGCCGTCAGCATCTGCGACAGAAATGCCAAGTTGAATTGGCCTTTGACGCAGGGGTAATTGCTTTCCGCCTTGAAACAGCTCCAGAATTTGTATCCCCCCCTCTGCATGAATCAATGCATAGCCATTTGACATCAACGAAGGCAGTCTGGGTTCCGAAACCGTAAATGGTCGCAGTTCTGGCGAAGTGCTGCATACCTGAGGTGGGAGCTGCTATGGCAGCGTTGAAAAACTGGGGGAATCTGGGGGAGATGTCACCAAGAAGAGCACAACTTTTAGTCAGCTAGAGTTATGTACTAAATGTATCTAAATGTATCTAAATGTAACATGATTCATAATGTATAATTATTATAATATATATGCATTTCACGCATTTGTCTACAAGCAAATGCTAAACATGTCATGACATATCATGACATATCATGACATATCCATATTTAGATCTCTTTTCAGGTGCTCATTGGATGTAGAGAAACAACCCCGCGCCGACCATGACAAACATTGCAGCTCGACCTTACCAGCGGTTTGGCAAACTGCTTCTCCTCGCGAAGGAAGCCTGCGAATTCCTCGTCCGAGCAGAACTTGACCGCACTGGGCAGGAACTGTTGGTAGCCGAATTACCCTCTGGTAATTTAACATAGCTATTGAAAATAGCAATTTATAGTGGATTTATCCATTAAAAATGGTGGATCTTTCCATAGTTACGTTAGTTTACCAGAGGGTACCATGAATTACCAACATCTGGGAGAAGTTCCCAAACTTTGATCCATACCCCAACTTGGGTTCTCGTCAGAATCACTGATGAATCCGGCATACTCCAACAGCGCAGAGGCATGACATTTTGCCCAGTCGCAGTGTCCATCGCAAGCACCTCTGGTAACCAATCCATGTCACTCCAGTGACACATGGCATGCGATGGATTGGAGTGCAATGGACTCTATTCATTCCATGTGTGCGACATGTAAAAAAGATAGTTGACCTTGGACCGAGTGGATATTTTCATCCAAAGATATCTCACTACACTCCACTACATTTCACTACCCGTTTGGAAGGGGGTGACTACATCGTGGAAACATGTGGGTACCATTCACTTGACCCTTGGCCACACCTTCCCCCAATCAGACACCCAGTTATTTTTCTGGTGCGTGCAATTCGTGTTGCTTCTTCTTGCTTTTCTTCATCCCATCAATGTTTACATTGGATTACCCTTTGGTAATTTAAAGTAGCTATTGAAAATCACCATTTTTAATGGGAAAACTCACTATAAATGGCCATTTTCAATAGCTACGTTAAATTACCAGAGGGTATTTGTTTCCCTCTGTTTCCCTCTGTTTCCCTCCAGAGGAATCATTGGATTATAAAAAAAACTCAAACATATCCCGTTGCCCTTTGCCAACATCTCCCGCTGGATCGTTGTGCAAAATGCTGAACTACTTTGGAAACCACGAAGCAATCCGGCCAAGACGCCACATCGTCTCTAGACCTGGCACCAAGTGACTAAAAATGATTGTACCTATTATTACATATTATACAGATGATAAAACTTGGGGATTATACCATATTATACCTATTAATTGTACATAATTATACCTATTATACAGATGATAAAATTATGGCCACAGATGTTCGGATTTCACAATTTCAAACTATGGGGAGAGCTGCAGAATGCTGCAGGTCTCAGGTGGCGACCCGATGGTGGTGAGAAGCTGTTGAAACTCGGCTTCGAAGTTCCAGGACCAAACCTCCGGGCACCAAAGTGGAGGCCAATTTGCTGTCATTTATAGAGCATTTTTTTTTAAATGTAATTCACATTTGAGTAGATAAAAAATGATTGTACCATATTGTATCCATTATACAAGTACATACTATGTAGTTATATAGAACAATATGAAAAAGGATATCATGGGACCAGCAATATGATATTTCGATATATTTGGATTTGTTAAAACAAACGGGACACCTGACCTCAGTTTATGTTAAAATTGATGGGACAACGATGATGGAGCCTTCCAAATTCAAAAACGACGACATCAGCAACTAGGGTGTTGATCCATTCCCATTCCGTTAGCGCTGGGACAGCACTGAGAAATCCATCTCTGAACAAATCACCGAGAATTTGGAGATAAAGAAAAACATAGAAAAACACTCCACTGCCTGTTTCAGAAGGGGGCGAGACCGAAAATCCAACATCTGGAACACATCTGGAACACATCTGGAACACATCTGGAACACATTTCCATATCTTTTGGCACGGAAAACCCAGCGGGTTTATGTATGGGAAGAAAACGCCAAGAACCTTTGGAGATCAACCTAGGAGAATCGACCATCCATTGCAGCCATATCTCGAGGCTGGCTTTGATTCTACCAGCCTCGCTGGCACCACACCATTTCTTCAACCATTTTCAACCACAACATGAACAGGGGTAATCACAATCATCAATCACAATATCAATCAGAACATCAATCAGAATGTCAATCATCAAATCAACCATTCTGATAATCAATGAAGAAATAACGTATATACAATATTACACACACAATTATACACATAAATTCTCAATTTCAACAAAGATCAACCATCATCCTGTACCAGTCGTTCGACATTTTCACTCCGCACCTCAGTAATCTCACGGCTGCCACCTCCCATCGCACTTTGGCGAAGCGGTCAACCTCCTGGCGCCGAGGAGTGGTAACCAATGGCGTGTGGGAATAGTATGGGAATAGTATGGGCCTGGAAATCGATCAAAAGGGCTATTGAATATATGTATATGTATGTATGTATGTCTGTATGTATGTATGTCTGTATGTATGTATGTCTGTCTGTATGTCTGTCTGTATGTCTGTATGTCTGTATGTCTGTATGTCTGTATGTCTGTCGGTCGGTCGGTCGGTCGGTCTGTATGTACGTACGTACGTACGTAGGTAGGTATGTATGTATGTATGTATAATTAATATATGCACACATACATATGTGTGTATATATATATATATAATCACACATATATATATATATTGACTGGATATTTGGACAATCATTATCCCCAAGCTTTCCTGATGGAAATACTGTAGTATGGGAATAGGATGGGGCTGGGTACGATCAGTTTTTGGATATTGGGATAAAGTTTTTTTCATATTAGAAATCCCGCAGAAAGACAGAACAGTTAGAGCCCTTGGAAAATATGGGGAAACAACATCTATATACCATTCTGGAAACACTCTTCGGCATCTTTTTTGTGGTTGCTATGGGGATCATACAGTATATGGGAATAGAAGGTCAACGACTCAGTGCATGGAGATAGAACTGAGGCAGATGGGGATGGCGAGAGTCCTTCTGATACATTTGCTGCACCCACAAATGGCTGCTGACTTTTGGCCTTGAAGCATATTTTTTGTTGGGTTGATCAATTTTGACTCATACTCATACCCACATCTTCAAACTAAAACGCGCTGAAGCACCAACAAACATCTCCACTCGAGCATTTGCTGGAAACTGGAAGACCCCTTCTGGAAATCCTTCCGGCTGCCTAGTGGAGAGGGACTGTCATCATCCAAAATGATAGATGGATGGTGCAGCGACCATCAAATAAACGGCATAGCATTTAATGAGCCGCAGTGCCGTGTAGATGCTTCTACTGAGACATGCACAGATGGCAACGGATTTAAACCCTGGCATCCTTCTGTTCACATCAAAATAGCTGGTAAATGTACGTATGTTCATACACCCAAGTTTAGTCAAGTATGATATTATAATGAATTCTTATCCATCATCACCAGATATTGGTAGACAAAACTAAACATCCGAAAACATAAATATTGGTAGTACATGATACTGGTAGATATTGAAAGATGTTGATATATATATATAATATGATATAATGGCTGAAGACGGTCACCCCCCAAAAACAGTAAGTTAGTCATCAGGGTCTTGGCAGCTCCTTCTCAGATCGGCAGGCGACAAGAAGGTCTATGCCCCAAGAGGATATTTAAAAGATCTGATTTTGGTAGTTTTGATCTGATGCGAATACCAATGGGTATGGCAATGGCTATGGCAAGGGTCAAAAATGAGGTACCCAAAATCAATCTTTTTCCTGCTTAGTTGGCTTAGTTTCATACAACAAAATAACCCATACCCGAATAAACTGAGGCCATCCTAAGCGTTTTTGAGACGTTGGACTCTTATTCAGAAACTGACTCCACAGGTGCGTGAAAGAAAGGTGATCTGAATGCAGGAGTGGTGACATCAACCAACAGTACAGTTTTTTTTTTTTAATATCTGCTATGTCTGAGTCTGGCCCATCTGATCCATCTGAAAAATCCGCACCACTTCATGCCAGAGGCCCCCCTTTAGGGTGTCTGAGCTGAACGGCCACCGGATGTGCCACTGGAAAATTCATTGCTTTCCCATGGTTTCCACGGCCATAAGCTGCGGCCATACCCCATTTTCAGACATACCCGTTTGATCAAACGGTTTGAGGACTACTTTGTCAAAACTACTTTGCAGAATACAGCAAAAAAATACATCACAAAGTGTTGAGACGGTCCTTTTGCTTCAACTTTGGCTTCCGGCTTCCTCCCTACTCCATCCAGGCTCTATCAACCTATAGAAAGTAGATCATGTAGATCAAATGCCAGGAAACACATACACGTCACATTTCTAGTCAGACAAGCACCAAAAACTGCTGCCACTTGTTGAAAAACATCAAGTAAACGGATGAAGAACTCGTCACCGTCCCCCCAGCTTGGATCTGGACATTGTCACATATCAGACCTCACAGGAAATCTCACAGGTCAAATTGGCTTTTCTTGAAATGGGGGATCCCCCAGTCACCATGGGTTTCAATACTAAACTGGTTGAAATTGGATGATTTAGGGGTACCCAACTTTTAGGACACCTCCAAATACCCATTGATAACTTCCCCCCCCCAAAGACAGGGGAATTTCTCAGGGCCACTGAGATCCCAACCAGTCGAACAACGGCCTACTGAGACTACTCGCGCTCCTCCGACCTCGACCTTGCCACTTGGGCAATGCGGCAACCCCACCAGGAAGTACGTATGTTCCTTCATCAAGTACTACTACCCAGTGCTTTTTGGCAGGGACTCTCCCAGAACCAAAGCTGTGGAAATCTGTGGAATCTCCCTGTTTTGCACTTCAGCACTTCATTACCGACATCTGAACCTCCAAAGCTCCGCTTTCCCAAAGTCTCAACCGTCACCCAAAAACCAGGCCTCTTGGTAGGTGGCCCGTTGCTTGGCGGATGTGGCCGCTTTGCCTTGTGATAATCAAGCCACTCGGGGTCATCTGAGAGGTTCGTCAAATACCATGATGGGGTTACCACACACCGAAAGCAAATGGCAGGAGGAACTTGGTAGAACTTGAGAACAGGCTTTGAGTTGTGTGGTGCTTGCCCCACAACTGTGCCAACTGGGTGCACCTCACAAAATATGTGCTTCCACAGCCTCAAATGAACCAAAGCAGTCTGAATCTTGGCCCTTTGCTGGCATCTTCGCCAGCGCAACTTTGGCTTTCCCCTGAAAGCAATGGCGTGCTGTTCATGAACGGCTGATACCACTACCGACTGTTGGGAAGGGGCCCATACGGGCCCATTATCATCCCATTATCATCCCATTATTTGCAGTGTTTTATAGTTATCAACTTTATGATGATAGTCTGGATATTATAAAAGTTACCAATAGTTACCAATAGTTTGGATATTATAAAAGTCATACTGTTTTATAGTTACCAACAGTTACCAACTTTCTTCCATCCACAGTATGACTTTTATTCTATGTGTGTTTCAAAGTTGGCGGGTCGCCCCAGGTGGCCTCTCCGCCAGAATTCTGTGGGTGCTTGGCCTCAGCAATGGTAACACAATGGAACCATACGGTTTGTCAAAATGTCTTTTCCTGGTTTGGTTGATAAATCGCAAAAACCTTGCGTGCCGCTTCTTGGCTGGTCTTTAAAACTATGACGTATCTAAATGGTCTGAAACCCCTGCATTTCATCTTTCATGTTTGAAGCCGTAGCTAAAACCTGCAGTAAATGCTAACGCGCGTCTATATGAAGTGGGTGCCGCTGCTAGTTATTAGTGATGGAACCGGATTTTTTTTTCATCTGCTGCAGGGCTTGTCGTTGCCTCTGCTGTCACTGTTGCTTTTGTCAAACAGACAGGATAAACTACAAGTTCTCTGGTGGCGACTGGGTCAAGGGTCAGCCAAAGCCGCTTTTTGAAACTTTTACCAGCGCATTGCTAGCGGGGATCTAGCGGGTAAAATTACGTACAAATTCGCAAAATGAAGCCGCAACCTCAAACATATAGGAAAATTGTTGAGTAGCACAGAAATTCACTAAGACATCTTTAGGATTGAGGCACTAAGTGTTACTTGACTTTCTTAATGTTGAAATAACAAGCAGTCAGGAACACATACAACATATCCTTAAACATGGGTGTGAAAAAAAAACTAGCGCAAACCTACCAGTAGCGGATTTGCCAGCGCTGCCTTGCAGAATGGGTGAATTTAGTTGCGTGCCGCCTCGTAGCGAAGAGGAAAAACCACTAGGTCCACACTAATTCTCAACAACTGGTACAAAACTTCTGTCAACTATTTTTGGCAAATGGTCCCATAGTTTCCGATTTTTATGTGGCCTGAAACGACCAGTTCTTTGGCAAAGTCCCTGATTTTAAGCCATAGCCATGGCCACCGGAGTTCCGTGCTGGTGTTTTTGACACTGGAGCTTTGGGTGGTGCCTGACGTCACAGACATCGGATGCTTCCCCCTAGTATTCAATACGCCTCAAACAAAAGCCAGGTGAAATGTATTGGATTATTGGATCTGTTCATAATTTAGCTCTTTCATTAGGAGATATTGAATATTGGGGGGGCTGTTCAATATACTGACAACGACAATTTTAGACATTGAGTGCTGCGGAAAGAGCAAGACAATCCGAAAACTCGAGAGCAACTGCAAGACACCAACTTTGCCGGTAGCAGTAGAAACCTTCGCCATATGCATCATCTGATGTCAAAACGTAAATGGCAAACATGCATAACTTGCACAAAAACCGGGCCTTGCCACCAGTTGGTCCCGGTGAGGAAGAAGGCTGAGGGGGCTTGGCCTTATTCCCAATTTCGAGTTGATCAAATGTCAGCCATTTCCAATGCCTCTTCAAGAAGTTGCACCGCCTTTGGGTAGAAAAACTACAGGCAACGAAAACAGCAGGATAATCTAGTTCCATCTATTTGGTTTTAGACCACTGCAATCTTCTCTACGGAAACGAGTTCCCTGCCACCAACTTCCCAACAGAACCTTTGGGCGGTGGTGCCTGGTCAGGGCCCCAAAGATCACGACTGTGACTTGACAACTCAAGTTTTGTGAAGTAAAGCAAATAGTTCATTCAATGGATTGGTTTGAGGGAAAATCTACAGGAAACCATAGATTTTCCCATTAAATATGGGGCTTTCCTGTAAATTTTCCATTGATTCATAAGTTCCAGCAAAGTAGGTCTCATTTTGTTTGATGTATTTGATGCAGTCAGACTTGCTGAATGAAGGAATAGTGCTCACCTGACAAGGGGCTGACAATAGCAATGATGGGAGACATGTGTGTAGCTGACAGTTGGTACTCCTAGAATCATTATGAACTGTTCCCAGTGAACGCGCAAACTTTGCAAAGGCTTCCCGTTTCTTGTTCTCTGGCTTGTTTGCCCCTGTGTTGTATCCTGTTTATGCGTATTGCCTCATGTTTTCAAAAAACTGCAGGAACAATGGCATTCTTTTGAAATAAGAATACAACCACCAAGGCATACCCTAGAAACTTCGACCTGTACAGATTGCAGGATCCCTTCTCAAAATAGCTGAGATTTCGCCAATCAAAGTGTTTCACTTTGAAGATAAATAAGAATATCAATAGCAAATATGCATCCTTGAAACACTTACAGTACCATCACTCAATATCACTCATCATCTGGTGCCGTGTGGGGACTGAAACAGATGTGTACCCCAAAGTTGATGGTGTATCATCACCATTCAATCCCTGCATTTCCATTATATGGGGTAGCATAGCCGTAGCCCCTTGCCTCTTTCCTATAATATCATATATTGTGAAATCATATTGTATCTATATTTTCATATCATATGGTGTAATATCATATAGCCCCTTTAAAAACTTTACACTGTATCTATCTTTCATTATCACCATAGCCCCTTTCCCCTTTATCTATATCATACCATATCACCATCATGGTCTGTTTACCAACACGGCCATGCTATAGATTGCCCATTTCGTTTGATGGTCAATCCCTATTACTACCCTCTGGTAATGGAACAACATCTAACACAACTATGGAACATCACCACTTTTAATAAGAAAAACACGGGTCATTTATCAATATTTGACAAAATTATGGAACATCACCATTTTGAACAGGAACATCATCTATAAATATGTATAAATGATTATAAATGCGTATTCATGGGTCATGTTCCGTAGCAACCTGTTGGTCACTAGAGGATACCCTCATTTAGTCGTCAAATAAGGTGAAATCCTCCGGTCGTGTCGCCGCCTTCTTCACCTGGGCCCCAAAGATGTTGCTTGGTTGGTTGGTTCAACAGCCATCTTAGAGTTTCAAGTGAAGGTTTTCTAAGTCATGAGGGTACCCCCATCATCCATGATATTGGACCTAGGATGACCTAGGATTTTCCATGATAAACAATCCAGCTATTGGGGTATTCCCATTTTACCAACCCCCCAATTGTGCTTGGCAAAACACTCCTATCCCATCCCAGTCTGCAGGTTGATGTCTTTCCCTTGTACAGGCCGTAATAATCCCCAATAATCCAGGTACCAGTAGTATAACCACGGGAGTACTTGAGTTAGATCTAAGAATAATACTAATGGTAAAATCGTACTTGAGTATAACCATCATGGTACCAGTAAGCCGCTTAAGCCTTATGATAATCGATCTATCGCAAAATCATGTCACATCAATCGAGGTTTTTCACCACATTTTTGTCATGATAGAGACTCCAATGACTTCCCTTATTGATTGTGCTAAACCCAAGATCCGATAGTCCGTACGTAATCATAAAATACAGTTACAGTAAATGAATCAAATCCCTTTTGGGATTTTTATGAAGTTTGCAAACAAGGGGGTTCATCATTGGGTTTTCCGCATCATTGGGAATGCTTTAACCTTGTATATTATATATGCCCAAAAACAGGTCATGGGTCTAAGGGAAAGTTCACGTTCATATATAGGTTTACCGGGTTTTCCTGACAAATAAACCATCATCCAATTTTGCGAATTATACAATCGTGGCTAATCTTTAGTATCCCGTAAAAGATTAGACTCCAGCTGATAAGTCCCTGTAGCAAGTTGTATGCCTTTTCATCATCTCCCTTCCTTCTGGGCTAATTCTGTATCTTCAGGATATTCGATGATGTTCCCTTTTGCTCCACATTTAAACAGGTTACATCTGCCGATAATGTTCCCCAAATATTGTGTCCCTATCGATGTTGGCTACATCCCAATGATGTTCCTTAAATACTAGATCAAACCCCTTTCTTGGAATATCTATATATCAAAACAATTTCCTCGGATATTCTATCCCCATGCTTATCCCGAATTTTGCATACCTACATACATCTATAATATGACACAATGATACAATATCCATACAGAAATGTTGTTTGTTTACAGTCGAATATCCCTATATGTGTCGATGATGGCTATTTATGATACCTCATATTATATATTCATATATCTGTATCAATGTATATATATATATATATGTGTGCACATATTTATACATATATATATATGTATATATACGTATGTCATATAATATAATATAATAATATAATACGAAATGTTGGCTATCTCCCAGCATCGAATTATGGCTAAATGATCCTAAATGATCTTATCCAATGCAATGATGTGGGCTGTTGTGGCAAACTTTGGGTTCTGTCGAATTCCTTACATGTAATGCTCTGGTTGTTAGATATGGAGGTTTCTTAAGTCATGGGGGTACCCCAAAAGCATTTATTCTATAATAGGATTTTCCATTATAAACCAACTATCTTGGGCATCCCCCATGTATGGAAAACCTCATATGCTCCTTTATGGGAGGTATCACTTACCAAATTGATGCAGAAAGATCGGCCGGGAGGTGCTTGTTGCTGTGGTGAGCCCTCACAACTGCATTTTAACCCACGATTAAATATCTGCATGTGCATTTCAGCGTTTGTCATTGTTCTATTAAAAGGCATGAAAAAGGCATGAAAGGCTAGGTACATATCTAACCCCTATATGATCTATATGTGCCATGGTGAAATCTAGGGTTTTCATTCCGACTGGGGGATGGTCATCAATTCATTGCTCGTTTTTTTCATCGGGATCTACGCAGACATGGGATGGATGACGAGATGACCATGACCATTTTTCACCGACGCAGCATTGCACCATGGCACATTGTCAATCATCGTCACATGTATTAATATATTCAAATACTAATATAATAAGATTAATAAGTACAGCAGATGATACTTGATACAAGTAGGGAGTTAACTAGCCCCAGTTACAGGTGCTAGAACTAGCCCCTAACAGTTCCTAGTTTTTCACAGTTATAGCATGTTATAGCCTATTAGCTATTAAGTATAGATATAACATGACATAACCACCGTAAGCCCCAAAAAAATTGGCACCTGATCGGCACCACTTCGTCCCGCAAGGTGACCTTCAGGCGTCCTGGGGAAAGGATCAAAGAGCTGTGGAATATGTTTCCCCCTCTTTTTTACCATTGAATATACTTAGTTACTACATAATATATCTGTTACTATATGTATCTATATGTATCTATATGTTACTATATGTATCTATATGTATCTATATGTATCTATATGTATCTATATGTATCTATATGTATATATATATATGTATCTATATGTATCTAGATGTATCTAGATGTATCTAGATGTATCTAGATGTATCTATATGTATCTATATGTATCTATATGTATCTATATGCATCCATATGTATCTATATGTATCTATATGTATCTATATGTTACTATATGTTACTATATGTATCTATATGTTACTATATGTATCTATATGTATCTATATGTTACTATATGTATCTATATGTATCTATACGTATCTATACGTATCTATACGTATCTATATGTATTTATATGTATCTATATGTATCTATATGTATATATATGTATCTATATGTATCTAGATGTATCTAGATGTATCTAGATGTATCTAGATGTATCTATATGTATCTATATGTATCTATACGTATCTATACGTATCTATACGTATCTATATGTATTTATATGTATCTATATGTATCTATATGTATCTATATGTATATATATATGTATCTATATGTATCTATATGTATCTAGATGTATCTATATGTATCTATATGTATCTATATGTATCTATACGATTCTATACGTATCTATACGTATCTATACGTATCTATACGTATCTATACGTATCTATACGTATCTATATGTATTTATATGTATCTATATGTATCTATATGTATATATATGTATCTAGATGTATCTAGATGTATCTAGATGTATCTAGATGTATCTATATGTATCTATATGTATCTATATGTATCTATATGTATCTATATGTATCTATATGTATCTATATGTATCTATATGAATCTATATGAATCTATATGTATCTATATGCAACCATATGTTACTATATGTATCTATATGTTACTATATGTATCTATATGTATCTATATGTTACTGTATAATAAATAAAATAATATAACAAATGGAACTCGTTGGACATCACCATGGAAATCAACATGGCTTTGTGATCTACCGATTTTACAAAGGGCGAGCTCCATAGCTTCAGTGTCAGCCTCTTGGTCGGTGGCGCGTTGGGCGGATGTGGCCGCTTTGCCTGGTCGACTCAAGAGCCCCATTGAGCACGTTAAGAGCGTCACCTCTTTGGATGTCTCAAAGGTTTACGCATGTTCTTATTGATATTAGAATATATTAGATATTAATATACCAACATCGTCCAATTGCTGGTAAAAGGGTCGTCCAGCCAGTGTTTCTTCTGTTGCCCTTGCTGCCTCGCCGCCAGAATTCTGCGGCGCCTCAAACTCACTGCGTCGGTTTTTTATGGGGGTCAGGGCATGTCAGGGCACCAGAATTTTGGGCCATGGGACAACGACCCGGCCAGGTTACCAATGCTGCCTCTTTATGCAAACTGCTAAGGCTCAAAACGGGGGTGTCCTTGGCAGAAACTGCAACCCATGTTGGGCATGGCTTCAAACATTGAGTTCCTCAGAGTTCCCTGCTGGCATTTTTGCGACTGGAGCTTTCGGTGGTGCCTGTCACAGACATCGGATGCTTCCCCCTAGTCATTCAATACGCCCCAAACAAAACCATGGTGACATATGGTGACAGGTATTGGATTGAGTGTATTGTGTTCGGGTTAGGGTCGTTTACTAGACTGACAATGACAAAAAGACGTTGGGTGCTTGCAGCAGGAAGAGCAAAACAATCTGAAAAATCCAGAGTGATTGCAAGACACCAACTTTACCAATAGCAAACCAATGTCAAACATGCATTGATGCACAAAACCCTGGCCTTGCCACCAGTCGGTCCCGGTGAGGAAGAAGGCTGAGGGGGCTTGGCCTTAGTCTTTATCAATTAGGAGGTGCTTCTTGATCAAACATCAGCCATGTCCAATGCCTCTTTAAGCACTTGCAGCGCCCGCCAAGAACCGATGGAAAAGCAAAAGGCAACAAAAAATGTAGCATGCAAATCTAGTTCCATCTATTTAGTTTTGGGACCCCTGTCATCTTGTTGGCTACGGAAACAGCCAAAAATACTGCCTGCTTTCGTATGGCTGTGTGGTCTCGAACCATCGACATCTTGCGAAATGCAGTGAGTTCCCTCCCGCCAATTTCGCCACAGGACGATTTTAGTGTTGATTTTGATTGGCAAAATCATGTCACATCCCCATTTCGACGTTTCTAGCTTGGTTTTGATTGAGTCGCGCTTATCCTGATAAAGACTGCAATGACTTCCCGCTTACTGTGGTCTTAAACCCAAGGCTATAGTCCATATGTCATATGTAATCACAAGATACAATAGTCCGTTTGGGGATTTTATGAAGTTGCCAAACATGGGGTTCATCATTCGGTATAACCCATCATGTGGGAAAGGCTTGATCATACATCTTCATATAAAGGGATGCGGCATGCGCATTTGGCCATCATCCAATGCTGGACATTTTGTAGGATGTAAATGGTGGCCAATCTTTGAGACCCGGCAAAAATTGTAGCTGGTACATACCCTCTGGTAATTTAACATAGCTATGGAAAATCACCATTTTTAATGGGTAAATCCACTATAAATGGCCATTTTCAATAGCTATGTTAGTTTACCAGAGGGTATCCCAATAGCAAAGGATGAAGCTGATCTCCTAGACTAACTGACCGAGCAGCCTTGGGCGTAGTCTTTGGAGCTGACTTCATGACACCCTTCCCGGTCGCCTTGCCCTCCGGCCCAGGGGCCTGCCGTAAAGGAGACGATTTTCAACGGCCATACGTGGAGAGAGCCGTGTACTTTTTGATGGAACCCCACTGCGGATTCGCGTTTTTTTGGTGATAATGTCCTCAACACTCAAACCAAATACCGAATCTATTTGTCCAGGGGAAGTTCAAACGCCATCAAACGCCATCATATCGAAGTGTACGAAACCTTTCAACATCTCTTATATTTCTTTCCCGGGGGAAATCTTTAATCCCCCTATTTTTGGGTCCCAATCTGTGGTTTCATCATGTTATATTCTGTTTCATCCCCTTTGAAACCATGGAATCGCTACATCTCCTGCCTTGCTTTGACGAGGAATGTTCAGGGCAGCAGACTCATCGCCTGCCTGGAAAGAGGGAAAGAGAAGGACGGTCACATGTGGAGGGATCAAACCAAGTTTGGTATCCACAGATTTATTTCACTCGATTCTTCTCAAAAAACATGATCGGCGCACTTCTAAAAGAAGCAATGTAGGGAAGATTTGGTGAAACGGTTTGGGTTCAGACAGCCACGAAATGCAAGAACTTGTAGACATACATTTTTGAGAAAATTCTGGCAAACCCATACATGACACCATAAAATGGCACAATCACCCGTGCCAACGATGGCGTTTTGTAGCGAGCAAAACACGTCCAACTAATCCGACCACCAACAATTCCAACTTTGGCAAAAAAACATGATCTGAAACTACCCACCAAATACATTCAGATACATGGAGGTTTCCTGGGGTGACCCCTAAGTCATACATTTTTCCATTATAAACCATCCAGCTATTGGGGTACCTCCATTTATGGAAACCCTCACATCTCATCCTTGAGCTTTGCATTTCCACATATTTCCACTATGGTTGCAAATTTCCAATTTCAAATCTTTATATATACTATATACTATATATATATATATGGCTATGGGTCAATACCTATAAGTACCATTTTTAGTGGGATGAACATCCATTTGCCAGCTATTTTGGGGTTCACTAGGTACCAGGGTTTTGACCCATCCCCATATATATTTCCACATATTTCCAACCATTGCTGATTGATTCCCCATGGTTCCGTGCTTGGACGGCCTCAATGCGCCGGCAACGATCCCTTCGATATGCCTCCACTGAAACAACAAAGGCCTCGAGGCGGTGCCAGTCCCCGAAAACGTGGGATTCAAGCCACAACCGTGCAGGATAGAACTACAACTAATACATGTATATATATACACACATACAGGTGTATATATATATATATACACAGGTGTGTGTATATATATATATATACACAGGTGTGTGTGTATATATATATATATATATTAGTATACACACATGCTCATGTATAATATATATATATATAATACACATGCATATGTAACCAGCAAAAACATGGACACAACATGACACAACCACAACCATACTTGACCAAGAACTGGCACACATGTGGAGTTCACAGGCAAAAACAGGGGACATTTCCTCTGTGTGGCTGAAAATTTGAATCGTGGATCTATGAAGAGTTGTCCCCCATGAGATTTGGGTCTGAACATACGGGGAAAACCCAACAAATAAATTAACAAAACACAATCATCATCATCATCATCATCATTTTTCCGCTTCAAATACGATTCGGGGCAGTTAATTATAGGTACCATATATATATAGATAGATAGATAGAAAGAAAGAAAGATAGATAGATAGATCGATAGATAGACCGATCGATAGATAGATGTCATTTCGAGACAAGTCCCTTTCTGTCAAGATCTTTTTCTTCCCATTCCATGACCGGAACCCAACAGTGGTCCCGGGCATCGATGGAGCTTTCTCGGTCACACGTGGACACAAGAATCCTGGCCGTCGCTGCCACATGGTAAGCTGCTGTTTCGCCACATCTATCGTGTTTTAACATGTTTTTTTTTGAGTTTTCATATGTTTTGATGGTTGGGATTATCATGATAGTATCAATGCTATTAAGGGATCATGGGATTGTCAAAGCTCATAGGCTGCAAGACCCATCCACATAGCAAGACCCACAAGGTGACGTCCAGATATCGCTCCTTGATCCAGATGACGTCTCTTTCAGCTGGATAGGCTCCTGGAAAGTCAAGAAACTCTTGGCTACTTGGCGAAGACCGCTACGTCTGTACGCGTCATTCCTATATTATATACATGTGTATATATATATATATTCTAAATGCATGCGTTATACATATAATTACATATATTATAAATAAATAAATAAGTAAATCAATATGTATATAATATATATTATACATATGTATAATGTGTATATATATATATATCTTTGGCCACAGATCTTTTCCTAAAAGGCCCAAATCTGCCTACAGTACATCTCCCCCCATCCGGTCTACCTTAAGCACTTTCAAGGCATCACGTAGGTTTGCAGCACCAAGCTTCCTGGCGGGCCAAACAGTTTGATGCTGCCCTGGGCCAATCAATTCATCCTCTACTGTTCGTACGCACTCTAAAGAACAATTCTTAGGTATTTCATACATGTTTAAAACAACCCTTAAGTTTGTGACATATTGGAACTTGCAAATGCGATCAGTGATCCATTTTTCATGGGTGTTTTTTTTTTTGCGCATCCGGAAGCACAAAAAGCTCGACCTTCTGTGACCTTCCCATCCACGGAGATGATCACGGGCTCAGCGCAAGCGCTCTTTTTTTGTCCAGCTCAGTGCGAGTTCATCGAGTGCAGCCCGCATCTCCACTTCATCCAGCTGTCCGCGCTTGTCTGGTGCGTGGGGCGTGGTGCGAAAAAAAATGGACCAGTGGAGAGAATTCATCATTTCGCATTATAATACATATACATACAATTAAAATATAATCATATATGTACAATTACAATCACATTAACATACAATTATGATCATATATATATATATATGTATATGTGTATATATATATATACACATGTGTATAATCATAGTTATATAACTACATATGTATATATATATATAAATGAACCTCCCCAAACGGGCGTCAATAACTTTGACCCATACCCAGCTGGCACGGTGCGCCTTTCATCTGCATCTCGTTGATCTCTCCCAGAGCCAATGCGCACGTTTCTTTGATGCGAGGCCTCAGGTGGTTCACCGGCAGGATGACCTTGCAACCTTCCCCCGGTAGCTTTGCGTCAGAAAATCCATCACAAGTTGTCTCTGGCATTGACCAAAATGCCAAACCTTCTGAGTTTTCCCCAACATGGGGGATCCCCCAAATCCCTGAGTTTGTCATCTTCACTAAACCTTACAACACGACAAAGCCTAAATTCCTAAAGTGCAGATTCCCCCATTGCTGGAGCAATCCAACTATCTCAATTCATTGTCTAGTCTGAAACTCTGCTAGATACCCTCAAGATTTACAATTTTCATTAGGAAAATGATAAACCATGGGTTTTTCTGTGGCTGTTCCCGTTCCCCACATTTTCTGGTCCCCCGGTGTCAACCCTCGGGGTCCCGTGACGTGACGACGCGGACGGATCCACATGGACGGTGCGTCACCTCCAAGGCCGACTGCAAATCTTTCTTCGCCTGGAGACCGTGGGGCCATGGTTTCTTTCAACAAAAATATGGGGATGTGTCAAAACCCTGGTACCTAGTGAACCCCAAAATAGCTGGTAAATGGATGTTCATCCCACTAAAAATTTATCTATAGGTATTGACCCATAGCCATATGGGTTTTTTAATAATGATCAGCTGGGATTCTTATCCCCAACTGAATGGAAACTCAAAAAAATTCCATGGTTCCAGTCACCACCAACCATCTATTAAAATATGGGATTTTAAATGATCAACCAATGTTTTTTTGGTGGATTTTTGATGGGTTTTCTATAGGATGATCAACCCATGTTAAAAACCTATGAAATCCATTTACCCTCTGGTAAACAGCCACATAACTATGGAAAGATCCACTATTCACCCCGCTTCGCGTGGGGTGGCCGTGTTTATTTCGGTCCGTGAGAGGGGCTCAGGGTGGTTTTCCCCCGTGGGGGCTACCCAAGCCCCAAGCTAAGAATTTTCACTTTCCCCCCCCCGTGGGGGCTCCCCAAGCTAGGGAATTTTCACTTTTCCCCCCGTGGGGGCTCCCCAAGCTAGGGAATTTTTCACTTTTCCCCCCCGTGGAGGCTCCCCAAGCTAGGGAATTTTCACTTTTCCCTTTGTGGGGGCTCCCCAAGCTAGGGAATTTTCACTTTTCCCCCCCGTGGGGGCTCCCCAAGCTAGGGAATTTTCACTTTTCCCCCCCGTGGGGGCTTCCCAAGCTAGGGAATTTTCACTTTTCCCCGCCGTGACAGCTTCCCAAGCTATGGAATTTTCACTTTTCCCTCCCTTGGAGGCTCTCCAAGCTGCGGAATTTCAAATAGCTAGACAACGACGCCTAGATAGTCCCCCAAAGCCCGTGTTCTTTGAATGTGTTTCCATGTTTTTGCAATGGTTTCCTTCAAAGCACGGTACTTTACACTTTTGTCGCCATAAAACCGGTCGAAAACATCATGTTCGACAATGCTTCCAATTCCCTTATCTCCCAACCCCAACCGTTGAAAATACCGCTATTTACAGTGTTTTCTTCAATTTTTCCATGTGCCAATGCCGGTAGCCAACTCCAACATATATATATATATATATGATTTTTTTCCAAAACATTGTTTTTGACAGTGTTTTTCCAATGTTTCCAGTCAAACAGACGGTAAATTACACGTTTTTTGCCATAAAGGCAGTAAATCCTTCCAAAACGTTGCTTTTGACAGTGTTTTTGTAATGTTTCCAGTCAAGCATACGGTAATTTACACGTGTTTTGCTATAACGTCAGTCCAAAACACTTGTTTTTGCAGTGTTTTCAATGCTCTGGCATCCAAAAACCCTGCAAAATCTTGCTATGTACAATGTTTTTTTCATTTTTGGCCGTTTTTCCATTGCCGGAAAGCTACCAAAATGACCCAAAATTCCATTTCAATACCCTCTTGCGCTCAGACACCCAAAAATCCTCGAAAAATGTCGAAAACACCACCGTATTCTGGTCTCGGTGCGAAACCGTTTTTGGCCCCCCCCAGCTAAAGCTGATATAGCGACTGCTATATTAACAAATGTCATTGAGCATTTAGTGTTGCTGTTGCCCCCCAATAAGCACGCCTTCACCGCCAAAGCGGTGTGGGCGGATTTTAAATCCACGATTTCTATGGCCATTTTCAAGTTTACCAGAGGGTATGAGGTTTTTGACCAACAACGAACCAACGAATTCGTTGTACCATGGATCATGCTGGCACTGATGTCCCGCGCCGTGCCATGAAAAGGTGGTGGACTCATCCCCTAAAAATATGAGTTCGTCAGTTGGGATGAGTATTCCCAATATATGGAAAAATAAAACATGTTCCAAACCACCAACCAGTATAATATTTATGTTTTTTTTTCTCCCACTATCATATCATATTATATTCCCACTATATCCCCATTCTATCCTATTAAACCTAACAGGGTGGGTGACTGACCTGCTCATCTGCTGCGATTTGGCTGCTCCGCATCTCTTGCATCAGCTGGACTGCCAAGGGCCACTGGCGCGCCGCAGTGCACGCCTGAAAAGTTGGAGAAATTCTCAGTTGAGCAGTGACGAAAATCCTTGATGAGTTAATTCTAGGTGGTTATATATCTATCTCTCTCTCTCTCTATATATATATATTATACACATACATAATACTACAGCATCTGGGTCTATCTGGCTTACTGGGAATAGTCAATTGACCTACAAGAATGCCGTCCTCGCAACTGTCCCACCTTCAATGCCGCTCCGAAGCCAGGCCTCTCTGCCTTTGGGCCCAGGTGCCTGAAGAATTGCCGTGCGGTAACATTCAAAAATCTCCAAAACAACATGGCTGGAAAGATGGTGAATTACTGGTCCGTTTTGATGAGAACATTCTCTATAAATAGGGAATTTTCCATGGTGTTATCCATGGCTTGAAAATTCCTCCCAATTACGGAATTCCCCTCTTTTGTGGGACCAAACATGATCCAAAACGAACAACTCCAGTACTAATCCAAGATTTCTACGGATTTCTTCAATATACACCAGTAATCAAACATGGCTTGCTGGACACTTATAGATGTTTATTTCCCATCAAAATCACTATTATTATACTAGAAAAATCACCATTTATAGATGATTTTTCCATGAAAACACCATTATTTCACCATTGATTCCCTATCCGGGTAGGGGCAACGGATCACTGGCTGCGTTAAAAAACGGGTTTGCTGGTCCCTCGCCTCAAGGCTTCCAGGCCGTCGAGTGCCAAGGTCCATTGAAGAGCCAAGGCAAAGGCGGAAATGGCCGCGTTGTGACTGGAGACCTGAGGCTTCAGAGGAGTTTCCCCTATATACATATATAATAATAGGATATATATATATTATGTATATATTATTATGATGATTATTATTATCATTCTTATCATTATAATATTACTATTATTACTGTTATTATCATTATTATTATTATCATTATTCATATATCATTACAAAGCAACTGGTGATGGGAAAAATATGGAAAAAAACATGAAAAATCATGATCCCATTCTTCTTGATGCATTGAGACACAATCTTGAACAATCCAGTGGTGATTCCGTCATTCTGGGAATCAATGACTCAGCTTTATCAACTTTCCTGGACAAACAGCAAGCCGCCAATATCCAGGTTTCCCTGTCCTAAAGAATAAGCAACCCATGCTTCCTCAATGACAACAACACTGCAATCGTCTGACAACTTCCAACATTTTCCGACCAACTCAGATCCAGAACCCCCGGTTTTACTCATAGTTGGTTCATATCTCCACTTTTGCTGATGAAAAGGCACACTTTCCTCCCATGCATGGTGACACATGTCACCAATACACTATGTTTCACCCCAGGTGCCGTGAGCTCGCTGCGCCGTCGCATGACCTGGAAGACCTGAATCGCCACGGGCCAGCGCACGTTCTTCGCAGAGGCTGAGATCATCACGTTGTAGCAGACCTCGTTGTGAAGATAGTGAGGTCATCAGAGACTGGGCTGAAACCAACTGCAACTGGCTGAAGATGTAAGGAACATGTTATATATATATGATTATCTGTATATATATATTTATACATAATATCTTACCCCGCTTGAAAGCAATTTTTTTCGCACGGATGCATTCAACAATCAGCATATGTCAAGATGTATCGCTCTTGCAGTGTGGCCCGAAGAAAGTTCACAATGAATTTGTGCACCGTCTACGGGAAGAATCTGGCACCAGCTTGCTTTCACTCACTGGTGATTCTACGCATTTTCAATCGCTTCACTAATGGTACAGTTCAAGGGAGACAAGTTGAAACAGTTTCGTCCTGAAACGCCAGTCACATGGGTGCTGGCCCCAGGATAGGAAATTTCAGATGAGCATGCAGCTCCACTGTCAATGCCCTCGTTGTTCATGGAGACAGCCATTTTGCTGCCACCCACATGCCGATACAAGGTCCATCAGAAGTGGTGAGAGTAGATCATGCTCCTGGGCAAAAACCAACTACACCCGCTGCCCCAGTTCTTGATGGACTCTATGCATCTCTATTCTGCTGCGACTGGAACTGACATAGTAGCCACTGAGATCAGCACTCGTAGGTGGGGTAAGGATACCTGAGAAGACTCCAAAGGTGCGTTTTATCATACTTCATGCCGCTTCATACACAACGGAAGTTTTAGGGACTCATCTAACAAATTGAACAACACCATATCAAAGAAGTTTCCGTTTTTAAGCCCAAAAAGAGCCAACGTGCTTCCAGTACAGATCGATCAATACACCACACTCCCCGCACTCTCCGCATTCTCGGTCTTGAAAGAAGGATGGTCTCTTAAGCATCCCTCATTTTTTATGGATGGTTTTTCCATCGCAAGCGTTCAACGGGTCGCTTTGTTTTTGTTGGTCGGTAGCCCAGTGACCCCAGTGGGGCCCCATCTCGGCTCCAACGCCAAGAAACACTCTGGAATCCATCATGGCTTCCGCCTTATCCACCTCAGAAAAGGGACCCAAGGACCAGAATCTGCAGGCTGATGGTGAACTAAACAAAAAAACCAAAAGAATCCAAAAGATAGAAACGCACTTTGCCATCATTTCAATAGGATGTTTCTTTTCTTCAAATCTTTCTGAGGGTTGCTGTAAATACATGTAAATACCCTAGACGATCCGTAATCCACTCTCTGGAGGGGTGGTAATCTGCATGAAAGAGATAAGAAACATATCTCCAGTAAGGATGCCCAAAAAATCACAATCAAATACTTGGATGTGCATCCCACTTGGTATCTTCTTAAAAAGGGTTAAAACCAATTCATAAGCAGGATACGCCCTACTGGTACATATATATATACATACATACATATACACGATATGCATGCGTATACATGTATATGCAACATTACTTATATGTATATATATATTTATTTTTCTATTATGCATATATGTATATATAAGTAAGTGTAAAAGTATTGTGTATATATATATAAATATATATAAATATGTATGTATATGTATGCGTTGTATATATGTACATATGTACACATGTATGTATGTATGTATGTATGTATGTATGTATGTATGTATGTATGTGTATATATATACATATGCATATGAATGAATGTATATATATATGCATATGTATGTATGTATGTATGTATGGATGGATGGATGGATGGATGGATGGATGTACGTACGTACGTACGTAGGTAGGTAGGTAGGTAGGTAGGTATGTATGTATGTATGTATGTATGATGGATGTATGCATGCATGCATACATGTATGTATCTGTGTATGTATCTGTGTATGTATGTATCTGTGTGTGTGTCTGTCTGCATGTATGTATTGCAATGTACAGTAATGTAATGTAATGTAATGGTATGGTATGGTATGTATGTACGTACACACATATATATATACCTATGTATATATATACATACCAAATATATGTATGTATGTATGTATGTATGTATGTATGTATGTATGTATGTATGTATGTATATATGACACAGAACATACAGCGGATCTACAAGAAGCCAGGTAGCAATAGTTTATCTTCCAAAATACTCATGTCATCTCATGGCCAAATATGTCTTATCTCCGTACCTGCCAAACCTGAACCCAACTTCCCCTGCCAATCCCAGCAACCGCTGCACGAAGTGCAACCATCTCAGGCCTTGGCGATGAAAAGGGCCAGCGCGGGCACCAAAACTTGCGATGTTTTGGGACCCGATGTTTGTGCCCAGCGATTTGGGTATCTATCCACACTCCAAGTCTGAAAAAGATCATTTGTGCACACCCCCAAACTGCAAACTATCATAAACCATCCCAATGTTTGGACTTTCTATTGAGTGTACCGCAGGGACATTGGCATGTGCCACATCATTCTCGTCGCGGCATCCGCCAGTAAGGTCGCCATTATCCTCATCATATCTCCATGATATCACCCATAATATCCCCTTTTTACCAACGGATATTCTACAGGAATTAATCCCATCGAAAAAACAAAAGCTGTTTCCAGGATGGTATATATATATATATATCTATGTATATATATATATATTATATATATATACATACGTACATATATATATAGTATTATACACATGTAGATGGTATTCACCTCATATTTCCAGGTTATCAACTTTTCACCGACCTTCGCGCCATGTCACTTGACTTTGTCGCAAAGATAGGTGGCTTCATCCGCCAAGGCTGTTGGCTTGGCCAAGTAGACGGCCTGTTGTTTTCCCCATTTGTTTCGGGAGATTTCCAGCCGAAAAATCATAAAAAAAGAATTCTGGGACATGGATTAAGATTCATTTACATTCATTTACATGCTGGAGCTATTTTAGATCTGTCAATCATGATTAATAGAATGTTGGAGCTGATCTAAGTTTGTTTTAACATCTTTTAAATATCCACAACATATTCTTGGATTCCTGAGGTTAATCTCTTAGACCCAATGGACCGATTTTGCGATATCAACCACCTCACTTTTTGGTTCGCAGGTTTGACCCATATCCAAATCGACAATCACCTAAATATCACCAACACAGCAAATGGTGTTAAAATGTGAAGAATTCACCATGTGGTGGTTTCTTAAATGGGGATCCCCAAGTCACCATGGGGTTCAATACTCAAATTGTGATGATTTGAGGTACCACCATTCTAGGAAACCTCCATTTCTGGAGTAGTTTTGACTCACACCCATTTGCTGCCGAATTCGGCCCGTCTTGACCATGAACTCCTTAGTGGTTTCGGGGATGTAACATCGATATCTAGATTTCTGGTTCGAACCCACCACCTCCTGTCAAAGATAAGAGGGGGTGGGGACCTTATCCCAGATTGTGATGGAAACAAAATCAAAAATCATACGAGTACTATGAATATGAGTATGAATATAAACATATATGATACATGTATATATATATAATGTGTATACATATAATTATATAGATATAATATGTATATATATATATAATTATATATAATTATGCATATGGATAATTATTTATATATTATATATATAATATGAATATGACCATACTATGTATATATATATATTTATAAAATGCATATATATATATATACATACATAATCAATGATAAACATGAAACATTGATTCCCCTGGCCCCCTTTTCAGATTTGCAGCATTTTTCAGCCGCCGAAGAAAAACCGTGCCTTTAGTTTCTCCAGCTGGTCAGCAATGGCTTCATAAGTGGTCTTTCTGGAGCCAGCCAGCTTGTCCATGCCCTTGAATCTGTCCAAGTCCTAGAACCGGACATCGGATGGGTTTACCAATGGCTTGGGCAAATAATCGTCGCGATTTTTCGCGACTTTTCAGTCACCTGGAGATGGCTGGAGATGACATGATGACACTAGGAGTTTCAAAGAGATTCAAAGGACGTTTCACACTGAAGTCCTAAGGATTTCTATGGATTTCTCATCCACCAGAGCGCTCCTGCGCGCAAGCGGGCAAAATGCCCTTCTCAGTCATCTGCACCATTGTCTCCACCTCGCAGCCTGCGACAGCTGAACCACCCATATGGACTGATGGTTTCAATAAGTTTCAATCCCATAATCTGATGGTCAATTTGAGGGGGTGGTGAATCCTATTGGCTTTACTATGCTTTACGAAGATCAAATTGGAAAGGACGCCTACTGTTTGCCCGAGCAAATTTTTCCTGCTATCATTTACACGGAAGAGCCTTCACAAACTATATTACGTCTACCGTAGCCTACGTGAAGAGCCTTCGCAAAAATTGGCCCTCGCCGCGCATGTGCCTTCGCAAGCCTGGTGGTTTCCCAATGCGCCATGCCCACCGGGCTACCCCTTTCAACAGTGGTTTCCCACTTCCCCAATTTTTTCTCCAAGCTACAAAGGCACGAAATGTAGTTCTCATACATGACCTCTTGACGTGCTTCAGTCTCCTCTGCTGTGTAGATCTTCAAGGTGTCAAAGAGCTGCTTATTCTTCTCGGTGTTCCTGAACCATAACTTGCCATCTGGTCGGAGACTGGGGCAGATCTCGGATGCGATTTAGACGGTCGTTTTTCATGGGATTCAATGATATTCAGTTATGATATGTTATGATAAACCATGGGATTTTGTTGGGCACAAAAAAAAATCAACCCATCTCTGACATAGGATTATCATGGATTATCATGGCCATTAGTGGCCATGGGATTCTTATTTTAAGATTTTTTAAACGAAACCATGAAGCGTGTTTTCATCCCTATGTAGTTACATTAAGTCGCTATCCCCCGTGGCCAAGCATCCAATTTGCCACAGCCTTGGGTGTGGTGTTCAGGTTGGGCAAACCTCTCTTGGCTGCCTCCACAGGCCACTCGGCAGAGTAGCCATTGCCCGTGAAGATCACGTGTTTGTTCTCCTGCGCATGAGACACAGCAGGTGATCCAAAAGGAGAAATCCTAGACCAATGAAGCCACAACTGGCTGCTATCCAATTTGATCCACTTCGACATTATCCAAGTTGGGTGAGTGCATTATTTTTTTGGCCCAACATCTTGTTCTCACAGACCGCTCTTCCTCGTGGATCCTTCTCAACCATCCCCCCAACAAAACCTAGCGGCGTCCTTGAAGACTTGTGCCACAGCATCACGGTGGCTCATTCCTCCTTCTACGAGTCCTTGCAGACCACGTTTCTGTGATGGAAACTACAACTGATTGGTCGAGCTACCCCTCTAAAGACACTTATGTAATTATCATTTGGCATCTTCGTAGGGATGTACATCATCAACCTTTCAACCACTTGTCCTGGGTGAAACCCCTGTATACCAGCAGGTCACGGTTCATGGTTCACAGTTCATATCCCAAAAAGGAACAGGAAAATGTCTGATTCGGATGTGTTCACACCACCCACACCCAGTTTTTTAGGTTGATTCTTGGACGTTGTAGTACATTGACCCGCCCCAAAAATCACCCACAATGGTAATGACAATGATAATACCGGCAAAAAACACATTAGGAATACGTATAAAATTATAACTAGACTATATATAATTATAATACAGTATAGTAACATATAGCAAAATTAGTATATTGACATAGAACATCTTGAACATCTTGAAAACCAATGCCAATGGTTTTTCTTGCTACCCAGCACCCTCCGGTCGGTCCTGCAAGGTGCGCCATGCCGGCGGACATGACGGCGTTGCAGACCATGATGGGCAGGCAGCAGTTCTGCGAGGAACCCACCGCGCGAAACTCGAAGCGGTTGCCGCAGAAGGGGAAGGGCGCGGTGCGGTTGCGGTCCTCGACGTTGGCCTCGATGTGCATGGCCGCACTGCAGCCAGTCTCCTGCAAGAGACAAATTCAACTGGTCTCTATGCTTCCTCATCACTCTCCGCTCTCCGCATAGGTCCAAATACTGTTTGCACAAGCTAGTCATGACTAAAGAAGTGTGTGGAGACCAGAAAACCAGCAAAAGTCAATCAACCTTTCCGGCCTTTCCGGATGGTTGCTTCATAAGTTTTCAGATCTGGTTTCGACCTCAAATCAATTTGAAAAAATGCAACCTACTACAGTACCATGGCAGTCTCCTGCTTCTTCTTTTCAGCTTTATATCCTTGGATTTGCTGAACCTCAAAAAAAATACCTCACATTCCCTGCCCCAACAGTGTATTTCTTGGGAAAGTCAGAAAAAAATCATCAGCCATATCAGCCATGTATCCCAGCAAGTCCCCGCCCGCACAGATGCTCTCCACGAAGGCTTCAAAGCCCTGGCCCGGGTATAGCGAGATGATCGCAGGAGGTGCCTCCTGAGCCCCGAGGCGATGGTCGTTCCCGGCATGGGCCACGGTGCAGCGGACCATCTCGTTGTACTGAGCCAGGCCATAGGCCAGGCAGGCGATGGCTGTGACATAGAGCTTGGCACCATCCTGGAACTGGAGCGAACTGGGTGGAATGGTGGAGATTTGCTTTAAAATAATTTAAAATATATATCTTTTTACAGTACGTATATCTATTTAATCTATTTTGAGGAATCTAAATCAATCTAAAGAGGTCCAAAATGAGTTAGAGACAATCAAGAGTTATTTCGACAACGACGTTCCAGTAGATTCCCCTTAAATGATCGATGTATCAAAACATTGGACACATTAAAACTACGTATCACCAAATGTCCTCGGTCTTCCCGGGATAGAAGAAGTTGAAGCCCGTGTCCGTGCCCACGGACCAGTTGGCGTGCTTGCCGCTGCCGTTGATGCCCGCGAAGGGCTTCTCATGGAACAGGACCTGCAGCCCGAGCTTGGCGGCCTCGCGGTTCATGACCTCCATGAAACAAACGTTGCTGTCACAGGACACATTGGCCGTGCGGAAGACGGGGGACATCTCGTGTTGCCCGGGGGCCACCTGAACAGGGAGCATAAACAAAAAACATGGAATTCCGTTGGTTGGAAATGGATAAACCAATAAACGGTCTTCAGTATTCTTCAGTAATAGCTGATATAGCTGGTGGATGTATAATGATGTATATCCCCTAGAAACTTCGTAGCTTTCGAGCATTTCTTGTGGCCCCCACCTCATTGTGTTTCACGGCCATGGGGCAACCAATCTTCAACATCTCAGCCTGTACGGTGTCCAGGAGCTCTTGGACCTTCCCGGGAATGGGCTGAAAGTAATTCAGATCGCCTTGTTGATGCCGCGTGGGCAGGGTGCCAAACAAAGTCCTGCGATGATGTGCTGCTTTTTTTGGTGACCTAATGAGTCAAATATAGTCAAATCATCCTGGCAAAATGATTCCCCAAAGGGTGGATGAACAGCCGATTTTCAAAAATTGCGGAAAAACGTTCCGAAAATCATCTCAACCGACTCAGCAAAATGTCTCAAATCCCTCCTGCCACAGTTCACAAGGTCAGGACGAGCTTTGAAGTGATCAGCAGAGATCACAAAAAACTCCTGCTCCCAGCCCAGATAGCTGTGCATGGTTTGAGCATCTGTGCCAATGCCCAGGGCCTTCAAAGGGGGGCGATGCAGGGGTAAAGAAATAAAGGACAGAAACATACATAAACATCCAAATAAACTATATATATATATTCCCAGTGGATTCCCCTTAAATGGTGGATTATTCCATTCTAAAATTCTATTCCCATATTGCCAATCTATTCCCATATTAATTGCCAGTAGTTTCTTGGATGAAGCTGCCAGGATGTTTTTCACATCTTTCCACTGGACTCCAGCGTCCCTCCACCTTCAAAAGCCGCAAACCATAGAGTTTCACGGCGTCCATGGACCGAAGCAACGGCGTCTTCTCGTCGATGCACTTGCCAAAGTGTGTCACGAAGGCGCAGGGAATGTAAAGGCACTTGTCCATGACCTCAACAATGGGATTTAACCAAGCACAATGGGGTAACTGGGGTATCAATGGGAGATGTGACCAACAATTGGATATTTGGGTGTCTCTGAAAACATGTGAACACTATGATAATCCATGGAGTTTCGAAGATTCAGAAAGATCCCAAACTGTTTCAGTATTTCGTTGCAGACTGCGGACGAGAACGTGCCATCAAGCCTTGGACCGCAACATCAATGCCCCCCAAATCATTCACCTTTTCCCAATTTCTTGGTTTCTGTTTAAGCGCCGAATGAAAACAATCCAATCCAATACATGTCCATGAATATGCATAAATCTCCATCAATCTCCGCAAATATGCACAAATCCACAAATCAAAGCACTTGTCGGTATGCATCAATCGCCATAGATATCACCAGAATGTTCTACCTTAGTATTGTTAAAACAGTGTTTATCTCTCAAATGAATCACCATACTTCACTGTGTACACTATAAATCGCTAGAATTGTTCATTTAATCACTATAAAGCACTATAAATCACTATAAATCACTAATAATCACTATATGAATCACTAATCATCACTATAAATCACTAAAAATCACTATGAATCACTAATCATCACTATAAATCACATTTTTTTTTTGGGATCTCCCAACATTTTTGTTACCACCGCGCTGCAAATGGTGGAGACGACCGGTCCCATGTGGTGAAGGCCGCCGCGGAGTGCGTCACTCGCAGCCCGCCATTGGGAAAGGACGAGCCGTCGGTCTCGCCTTGGAACAAGCGCTCGTGGGGCAAGCAGGCCTGGCACGGGACGTTTGAAAAAAGTGTGGAAGTTAGATGGGTTTTTTCATATCATGAGGATATACATAGATATACACACACACACTATAGATATATATATATATTATATATGTAATGTATGTAATTGATGTATGTAGTATGTAATGTAATGGAATGTAATAGAGTAATGTGTAGTGTAATGCAATGTACTGTAATGGAATGGAAGGTACTGTACGTCTAGAAACAGTTAGATAGATTAGATTAGATTAAATTAGAATAGATTAGTTTAGATTAGTTTAGATTAGATTAGAGTGGGTTAGATTAGATAGAGAGAGAGATAGGTAGATAGCTAGCTAGATAGATAGATGGATGGATGGATAGATAGCTAGCTAGCTTGTTAGGTAGGCAAGTAGATAGATATATAGACACATACTAGATTTGAGACTGGGAGTGTATGATATAGTGATATTATGTGATATTATTAGTGGTGTAACACAACCCATAACATGAAAAGGGATCAAGGAAGGGGTACCCGCACGGTGATAATCCAAGTCAACTCCCAACTGTGTGAGTTGGTAATCCTCCTTTAAGATAGATATGCAAAAATCCCTGGTTTCCCTGAAACATAATCTAAGATCTACAAACGGTAGATTTTGAATCACAGTATCATAAAGTATCTACAGGAATTCGCTATGAGCTATGACTCCGCCAGGACGGTCGCAGTGGCACCGGCTTTCGGCGCCTTCATGGGTTTGGTGACATAGGCCGATTTGAAGTCCAAGTCAATCAGGGTGTCTCGCTTGAAGGCGCCCAACATACCACCCACGGCTCCGCCCCCACCGCGCAAAGGGAAGAACCTCAGCAGCGATGACGGAGCGAGCGAACTACGACTACGGCGCTGGAAGCAATGCATCTGCAAAAGGTCTCAACGTATTACTTCGGTCAGCTTAATCAATTTTCAAGTCCTACTCTCTCTCTATATAAATGCAATGTTATATGTGTATAATATATATATAATATATATAATATATATAATATATATAATATATATAATATATACAATATATAAAATATATAAAATATATAATATATATAATATATAATATATATAATATATATAATATATAATATATACAATATATACAATATATATAATATATATAATATATATAATATATATAATATATATATAATACATAATATATATAATAAATATAATAAATATAATATATATAATATATAATATATATAATATATACTATATATATAATATATATAATATATATAATATATATAATATATATAATATATAATATATATAATATATACTATATATATAATATATATAATATATATAATATATATAATATATATAATATATATAATATATATAACATATATATTATATATAATATATATAATATATATAATATATATATATAATATATATATAATATATATATAATATAGATGATATATATAATATATATAATATATATGATATATATATTATATATATTATATATATTATATATATTATATAGTATATATTATATATATTATATATATTATATATATATATATTATATATATATATATATATTATATATATTATATATATTATATATATCATATATATGTTATATATATTATATATATCATATATATTATATATAATATATATATATATATTATATATTATATATATTATATATATTATATATATGATATATATTGTATATATTATATATATATATTATATATATATATTATATATATGATATATATAATATATGTATATATATATGTAACATTGCATAAACATATTTTCCCACAATGCCATTCACGTCTCCTGTTGGTTTCTTGTGCCATGTTTGTATCGGTTGTTCCGCGTCAAGCCACCAGTGAGCAAAATCAACGGCTCCCAGCTCTCGAGCCCAAGCGAACATGGCATCAGCAATGACCTGTCGTTAACGTCATCGATGGGAAATGATGGGAATATATACAAGCTGGGTTCATGTGAACTATTAAAAAAAGGTACCCTCTGGTAAACTAACATAACTATTGAACATGGCCATTTATAGTGGATTTTCCCATGAAAAATGGTGATTTTCCATAGCTATGTTAGTTTACCAGAGGGTATTTTTCGGACTTGAACACTCTTAAATATGTTTAGTTCTTATTCAAAAAGACATCTTACAACTTACACATATCATATTTCAATATTTTTTCCAACCATGGATCCATTGAAATGATGGGAAATTGATGGGTATGAGCAGCACAGGATACCAGCCCCTACTAACAAAGACCTTGAGAATAGATGAGAATAGCATATTTCTAGACAAAACTCATCTTCCAACCATCTTACTTGGCAGGATGCGATCTCTGATCACTTAGTTCTTTTACGGGTGAGCCCAAGGACTTCCTGGACTGCCTGTCATTTTCGCTGTTCGTCTTTCGATTTGTGTTGGTTGTATCATTGCTAATCATTGCTTCATCCCAACGAAAACAACTAGTGTCAATGGGATTTTGTGGGGATATTCCCTTACATAGGCCTTACCAAGGCCTTATATATGGTAGGTACCTCCAATTTAAGTTCCTAAAATGGCCATTGATAGTGTAACTAATGCTAAAAAAGGAGAAGAAACCACAGAATGTTGAAGGGCCAAGGATAGCTATGAACTGCTTGCCCTCAAAAAACTTGGCGCCTTCTGGTCCTCCTCCGGCGTGGGCGCCCCCGAAATGAGGCATTCGTTGAAGCGCTGGACCACATCGCTTGGCAACTGGCAGCGACATACTCAGCATCTTTGGCTATGAACATATTTTTTTAGAATCCAGGAAAGAAATTAAAGCAATGCTCCATGAATAGAATCAAACTATAATCAATACAAGCAACAATGTGAAAAAGTAGGGGTATACCGACTGACGATCCGGGAAATCATATTGGCTGAGAACCAATAGAAACAGGATAGAATGGGATCACAACAAACAAAGCTGTGGGCTGTTGGACACGTCTCATAACGCTGTGGGTCAACACGATGTCAAGGCGTCCTTTAAAGTTTCTATCAATTTTCACCCCGGGGGCTGAACAAGTTCAAGCGCCATTTTGAAAATATTGTTTGTCTCAAAATTGGGGACATATAATTACTTCATGACCATTTTGATTCGATCATAATTCAATGATAGTTGAAATTAGAATATTGATTATATTATTATTGTTATTATTATTGTTATTGTTATTATTATGATTATTATGATTATATATCATATCATATTAAGTTATACTATACTATATTATACTATATTATACTATTATACTATATTATACTATATTATACTATATTATACTATATTATACTATACTATATTATATCATATTATTTATATTATTATATATCATTATAAATTATTATATATTATTACATATTAATATATATTCATTACATATTATTATACATTATTATATATTATTATATATTATTATATATTATTATATATTATTATATATTATTATATATTATTATAAAATTATTATATATTATTATATATTATATACTATATATTATTTTATATTATTATATATATACTATGTATATACATATAAATTGAGACATTGATGATAAGCAACATTGACACAGTATAATAATATGAACATTGATAACCCGTGGAATTTTCAGCTCCCAAACTCCTTGAGCTGCACCTTCTGGGCCATGAGCACGTCATCGAACATCGCCGTACCGGCCGCCGCCAAAGCGTCCGCCATTGGAACAATTTGGTCAGATTCTCCGATGCTGAGACTTAGGAAGAACAACTGCGCAGATCGCTTGGGCAGAAGGTCGGACAAAGTTCGCAAAAATGGAATGAATCATGATAATTCTATGACAAACTGTGATAAACTGGGAGAACATTATGTAAATGTCCCATGGCTGAAGACTCTGGTTTTAGCTCTTCAGAGTGCGCTCAAGCAGGTCGCCTTCAATCCCTTGCACTCAATCCGTTGCACTGACAACATGTAGGTGGCCCATTACAATTAATATCAGTTCATTACATACAACCCAAACCAACAAACAAAAGTAGCACTGTAGCACGCAAGATCTGGGAAGAGAAGGATGAGGCCTCCTCGTGGTCTTCCCGGGTGCTATTGAGCCCTAGCATGCGGAACTCATCCCAGGAAACTCTATCCATGTTTGCAGCTCAAACGCAGAGATTGAAGGAGATCGATTTGAGAGATGGCGCAGGACGAGTAGGGAGCTCCACTAGGAAGAAACAAGTTGAAGATTTGGTGAGTGTTTGGTGAAGATGACAAAATTCATATTCTGTGGAGGAGCACATGGGGTCGTCGACAGACTTGAGAGCAGGTGGGTCTCGAAGATAAGGAGATCGTTGTTTGATTGGCAGCTCTTGGAGCTCAGAACTCATTGACGTGGTAGAATTGGGAATTCGCATGTGGGGTGCCACCCCCGGATTTTGACTTAAAAGGATAAAGCCTTCAGGATGAGGACTTTCGAAGCTGAGAATGAGTGCATGACTGCATGCTTTTGAGCAAAGCGTGTGGCCCAGTCAAAGACTTGATGGCTACAAAGAATGACTGATGTGGGAACATAGTGGCTATCACTGTGGGGTACGTCACTCAAAAGATCTCTGGGCTCCGCGGCAGCATCAGGCTTGATTCGAAAGCCTTGCACTGACTGAATCGTTGCAAGTGCCTGCATCATCGGCAGCTGGCTTCAGGGATCGGTCAAGTCCTACAAGAGACCCACAAAAAAAGAAATCCATTGGTCACTTAAAGTATAATTCCAAGCATTTTTTGGGGTGTGTGGTGATTTTGACCCAAATCCAGCGGACATGGTCCGTTGAGATGTCAACGACCCAACTCCCTGGGTGCGACGGTCCGACGCTGGAGATTCGCCTCTTGCCATCTCCCAGGCCAAATGCAAACGCTCAAAGAGTTGGACAGTTCAGGCAAGGAGGGCAAGACTTGCCTGGCTGTCCATTTGGAGAAAAGGGAAGATGCCCCCCTTTTCTGCCGACCCAGAATGGAACCCCAATCAAATCAAATCAACCAACCAATCAATCAGCCTTCCAACAAGGCAACCAAACAACCAAGCAACCATCAAACCATGCATGGCAGCCACAAAACACATGGAAGAAATCAGCTGGGCCTCTGCAAGTTGCTATGCAACAGCTCCAGTGCCCGTTGCCATCCTTGGTTCCGACAGCATGATCTTCCCAGTCGAAAAGCACAAAAAACACCACCAGTTCCATGATTGCTTCACATGTATTTATGATTATTTATGTAAAATGTAGAACCTATCAATGTACTATCTAACTAATCAAAGCTGCCAATGGAAAAAGCACAAAGTCCCAGGGGAGTTGCCAGCCAGGGCCAGGTATAAAAATCCTAGGCACTATGTCACTATGGGTGTGTCTGGAAATGGAGTATACCTCCAATTATAGCCATTGGATAGGGAAAATGAGGATTAACCATTGGGATACCATTGGGTTTAGGGCTACACTATTTTCAGACAACCCCCTATTTCTTCCATCCCGACTTTTGCAGAGCCACGAGTGAAGTAAGTGATCTCGCCATAACCTGGCGCGAAAATCTTGGGTCCCTTCTGTTCAGCCCCAGGTGGGATTTTGGAATCACCTCCCAAAGATGGTAATTTAGGGTTTGACACATCCGGATTTCAATCTCACTTTACTTGATTTTGTGCTTGTAAGATCTTGTAAGTTGTAAATGTATCAACATGTAAACTAACCAAGAATTGGGTCCCAAAGTGGAGAACATGTCGCAATCCGGTGAAACAGGGCTCCTCACAACCGACTCGCCGAGATCGCCTGGCCTGTGCAAAGGCCTCGCGTCGCTCGCTTCGCACAAGTGAGGGCCGTTGTCGCGGCGGCCTTGCAGGCATAAACCATCCAAAATAGGAGGTTTGTTCTTGGGTCACATTGACATGACAACTTTACGGAAGAAACAAAAAACGAGGGAAACGGCACAGTCATGACTCATGACTGTCTGCCAAGTAGTTCGAAACGTCATTGCCTTGGCAGGTTCAATCGAGCCACACCATTGCCAATGCTTGCGATCTTGCTTCAAAACCACCGTTGAAGGATCCATCCCCAATCTGTTTGTCCATCTCTGCTAAGCGCTCCAATTAGAGGCAATCGTCAATGGATTGATTTAAGGGAAAATCTAGAGGATACTTTGTTTTTACTCTGAAATATAAATAGGGTTTCCGGTTTTCCTATTCTCCTGCAGTACTCTGAATCTTCTGCTGTGGGTTTGTCACTTCTACTGCTCTTCACCACCGTCAATACCTTCGAGCCAAACGGTCGGCGGACTTTCATGTCGGATGCAGAGTGAATTTGCGGAACTCGAGTATAGTAAGGAACCCACGAAAAGCTGGAAAATTAAGATCCCATTTAAAATCAATCAATCATTAAACTAGTAGGAAAAATATTTTCTATTCTTGGCTTACTTTCAGTCATGCTTCCATTGGTCTTCTACAGCCATCTTCAGGACCTGCTGCAGATGCCTTGGCTCGAAGTGATGGTGATAGTATATCCTCCAGTAGTGCTCCATGTGCTCCTCGATGCGTAGAATGCAGCGCGTTTTTCATTCCAATTTCTTCATTGAAAACACAAAGAGAACCTTGAATCAAAACGATGCGTCCCGAAGGTTTTCATATGTTTTCATTCATCTCTAGGAATTCTCCCATCTGCCCATCTGCCCATCTGCCCAAGATCATGTCATGTCACTGTCCTCAGGAACCCCTAGGCGATCCGAATCTGCCGCATCGATGGGGAAGGCGTGGCTCAGCAGGTGCAATTCATAACGCCAGGAGAGCACCACCCAATCCTGGCGACAGGCCACGGGATGAGTTGCAGAGTCAACGTCTGGGTGTACACTTCTTATGGCGAAGAGGGAACATTTATGAAATTTATGATTCTAATGGGATATTCATACCATGGGGTACCATATTTCCAAAGCCAGATGCTTTACTGAAGATCACTGAATGATCAGTACAAATTCATAGTCTTGCGATTTTGCTGCGGACGTTTTCTTTGCGGATGGAACCAACACACTAAGAACACGGGGCTGCTGTGGTTGATGGAGTCTTTCTTGCCAATGGGTCCGTAAGAAAAACCATGAGTGTTGTACCTGTACAGTATCAATACTATGCTGTATAAAGTATAAAGTGAAAAAAAAACGCCTTTGAGATCTTTGCAGCCGTCAATGATACTTCCCGAGACGGTCCAGAAGAATTCAAATTTCGCAAAAAATCACCACCTGAAAAATTCTGGGTAATGCAACACACTCAACAAACAAAACGGGGAAAATTCTTTGAGTGAAAATCACATCTCAAAACCACTTTATGCAGGTGCACAAATCAACTCACATGGTGAAACTTCTCAATTTTTGACAGTCATCTGAATAATTTTCATGATACCCTCTGGTAATTTAACATAGCTATTGAACATTGCCATTTATAGTGGATTTACCCATTGAAAATGGTGATTTTCCATAGTTATGTTAGTTTACCAGAGGGTAATTCACCAATCTGACTAGGTCATTCCCAAACTTTCAGGATGATTCCCCACCCGTTTCCCATCCGTTGTTTTATCTCGGTTTTGTCTGAACATATAAAGCCTATCCCATCCATTGGTTTATCATGGTTCCTCATTTTCCCATTCAAATAGCCTTGTTGGGGGTATCTACCATTTTAAGACACACCCATTTATGGTTAGTATCCTCATTCTATCCTCATTATATCCCAAATATGGTAGGCTCTATATTCCGGACGTCACGGCATGGCATATCGCGGCACCTCGTACTTGAAGTTGCCGTAGATGGGTGTACCCTCACCATCCGCATTGTGAGGATCCTGGCTATATTTGAAACCGTCAACTAACAATATAACATACAAACGCACACCCTATGCAAAATCTGAAAATAGGGAACCCCTACTTCAATGATTAATGTTTGTTTTCCTGTACATGGCAAGTTTTTGCCATTTTTGGGTTACCTATATGGACAAGGTTGTGCCCCATAGTTAGCCAAGTTGGTTCACAACCAGCTCGACTACCATAGATGGACGCAATATTCAACCCCCTACCACACCACACTTGGTACAGTAGCCCGCGCGCTGAAACATTGAAGTCCCTTGTAAGGTTTGAATATGATGTCGATTTACTATAGGGTTCATATTGACAATAATTAATAACTCTAGCCAAACGGCTAGCAAACCGCCAAACATCACTATCACAAATCAACCCAAAATTTATGTTAGAATCATCATTTCCCTATTAAACATCCTCTTACTAAAGTTCATTAAAGTATATTAAAGTTATATTCCCATCATTTCCCGAGAAAAAAGTTGATGAAAGGCTAGCGCCCACCTTGACCTCGGAGAGATCGATGGCTGAGACCTGAACAATCGCTTGGGCGCTGTTGGGGATAGGGGATAGTCCTGGGGGATAGCCCTGTCGTTAAGCCATGGGGAAAATGATGATAAGCCATGGGATATCTCGATGTTGACGGAAAAAACCTAAGGATATGTGTATATATATATATATATGTAATATAAAATAATGATATATAATGATTGTATAATATAGGATATCTCCATTAAGATATGTAAATATATCGCTATTGTCTTCATCTTAAAAATCATTATGATAAGGATATGTATATATATGTTCACCAGGGATGGGTGGATGTATTCTCCAAACATATGATAAATATTTAGAAAGCATGACATCTACAAGTAAGGGTACCCCAATTTCAGACAAACCCGCGTCAGCATGGAATGTACCCTCTGGTAAACTAACATAACTACGGATGGAAAATCACCATTTTTAATGGGAAAACTCACTATAAATGGCCATTTTCAACAGCTATGTTAGTTTACCAGAGTATATATCTATATTATATTATATTCTCCAGTTTGTTAATTGATATGGAACATATCGTTTTGTAGGAAAACCGTGGGTATTGATGTTCGTTTACTGGAGGGCATGCTTCTTGAACCAGGGAACTAACTGCAGACGGTTTTTTTTTGGCTCAAGCAAGCAGACAGTTTTTTCTTTTTTCTGGTCGAACATCCAGTCCTGTAGGGTAAATCATCTTGATGCGTCTTGAGGCATACCCAATGATAATGACAATCGCGATATTAACAATAATAACAATGCTAATAATAACATAAAGAGTCATAAACCAACAATAAGATACAATAAGAACACTACTTAATAACAATAATGATAGCAAGCCAATTGATATGAGTAAAATATATTACTATAATATACTATAATTATTCACAGAACAACACACCAACAATAATGGATATAATTTCATATGGGTATGGGTCAAAATTAGGTACCCCAATAATTGGATGGTTAATACTAAACTAGACTAACATCTGTGGTCCCCTAGGTCTTCCATTTTGACCCACATCCATACAATTTTCAATTAATGACAACAATGATCACACGCCAATTCTATGGTGATGCAATCGACCTCCCTTCCGCCCACCTTGTCGGCCAAAGAGTCATCGCCCTGACTGCGCGTGCTAAAGTCGCGCTGCCCGTTCTGAAAGACACGGCGCGCATCCTTCCAATCCTGCGGCTGAAATGAGTTGTAGCAACGGAACCAGCATTTTTAGCCGTGATTTAAGTGTTTGCGAACTGGAGACCATGGCCCACTACCCATGATTTTCATGGTGATTTTCCACTGTCAGTCATTACCAGAGGCTATTAATCATTAATCTTCAGATCACGGCAGCCCAGGCAGTTTGAGCTCCAGCAAATCAGGGATGTAAAACACTCATGTGGCTGAATTATAATAATTTACTGAGCTGAAAATAGCTGACATAAGCGACAATCATGCCATTTAGGACGGAAAGCGACGTGAGATCATGATCAAACTCATCCATATCTTATTCCGTGACTATACTGTCTATGCCGGACTATACCATATTATTGGGCCATTTATACCATTATTATATCATTATCATACCATTAATTCATATTAATTCCATAGCATTTTAATATTATCATATATTATCCATATCACATATTGTTGGTGATATTCTCCCACTATATTCCCATTCATATTTCCATGATTTCCCATGATTTCCCATTCATATTCCGTTGATCCCTACGAATTCACCCAGACCTCATGGACTCATCGCACTTTTCGCCTTGTACTTCTTGTCGAACCATTCCCCAGGCGCCAGGCCCTCCACGATTCGCCTCGCCTGGACACACGTTTTGGTTTCGTCTGATGGGGGGATACCATGAAGAAATCCCCCATTTCGGGGCAAGTTTCATGAAGAAAGCCTGGTAAATTTCCATTCAAATTTCCATCCAAATTTCATGGTACCAGTACTCAGTTTAAACTGAGAACTCCGATCAAAAACCCCCGGCTGAAGCCCCAGCCTTTTGTTCTCGTAGCCACTGAAGGAGTCCAGCTTTGGCACCTGCCTGGCCAGTCATCCTTTGAGGCCCTTCATGGAGGTTACCTCAATAGCTGGATGCTATTTTTGATGGAAAAACATATTGAAATTAACATGGATTTTCTTAATGGTTTAAAATTGTTTTTAAAGCATGTCCAATTATTTTTGATGGGATTTTTGATGAACATGATCTAAAAATGGATGATTTGGGGCTGCCCCCATGACTTAGGAAACCTCCCAATATATAGGACGGTGATCCTTGTGGGGATGGGCTTAGACCTGAGGGAAGCCACAGGGGAGATTCCCAGCGAATGTCTTAAAACTATGCACCCAAAAGATCCATGATTTATCAATTTTATCAGCACCTTCCCCACTAAGGTGGCAAGAAGTTGAGACTGTTGAGACCTTCCAAAGCTTCGAACCTTTTTGCTGGGCTCTTTGCAGCATAGGTCGACAGCAGCTATGCATAGCTATGCAAAACCTGTTTCGGCCCGCGAATTCCGACGGCTCATTCCACCATCGGATTAAGGGAAGTCTATAGGACATCCATATATTGATGGTCAAAAACCAGGGTTTCCATGCGTTTCCTGTCATTCCTCCCTTCCACCAAGCCATTGACATTGACTCATTCCTTCTTGTCTTTCCTCCGATATGATTGAAGCAACACCCAGACCACGAAGCACCTGGCATGCTGCTCGGCAACTCGGCATGTGGATGGTGCATATGGTGGGATACCCCCGAAACCATCCCCTGACCATAAATGGCTATGGATCAATACCTATACATACCATTTTTAGGGGGATGAACATCCATAAATCCCAGCTATTTTGATGTGAACTACAGGGGGATAGGGTTTTGACCCATCCCCAAATGGCTGGGAATTCAACAACAACCGCAGTTATGGCCTGGAATCCAACATCCCCCACGCATCTGTCCAGTCTCCAGGCCACGAGGTTCAGGCTTTTAGCACTGTCCAAACATGGAGCTTGCCACGGCAATGTTTACCCAGCATGAAACACGCAGCTTATGGTAATCATATGGTAATCATATGGTAATCATATGGTAATCATATGGTAATCATATGGTAATCATATGGTAATCATATGGTAATCATATGGTAATCATATGGTAATCATATGGCAATGATGTATATATATATAACTATTTATAACCATTTTTACCCACATTTACTCAGCATTTGCCGAGCATTCGACCGTCACCAATTGCTGGCCGTGGCACAGGGCTAGCAGCACGCCGAGCCGTTGAAGGGCCAAGGTGTCAGCAAGAGAAGGCTCAAACGGTGCATCCTGCATGTAAAATGGGCAAAAATGAAGGGGTGGATAAATGAGGGTACCTGGCATTACATCCAATTATATTATTTAAGTTCACTTCTATTCATCTATGTTCAATTATATCCATTGATTGATTATATGATGCATGTGTATCTATTGATTGCTGTGTATAAATCTATATCCATTTACAACATCCACCATTTATATCCATGTATATTAATTTAAATATATTTTTATTTATTTGTATCAATTCTTTATATCAATTTATTCTTGTGCTTCCCTGGATACTAGGATAGTCCTCCAGGTAGAAAGATGTCAACTTATATATCACCAAAGGGTTATAGTTTTAGGGGATCGGCAAATGGTTAGCAGATTGTTGGCATATGTTTTACAAAGTGGTGATGAAATGGGGATGCGACCAACAAAACGCGAATCGACACATGCTTCGATAAGTCTCCAGAATTCTGACCTGAGAACTGCCAGTTGAGTTGAGCCGTGTTCAGCTTATCGATGCTGTCTTTAGCGCTTTAGCAGCAACAAACAGTCACTGTGAAACTCGCACTCCCACCTTTGGCAACCTCGCCACTCTCTTCGTAAGATCCTTTCCCGGAGGGCGAGAGAACAAACACATCTGATGGCTGAAGCTGTTTTCTTGGGCTCCCAAAGTAGGACTTGTGCTTGGATCAGTGAGAAAACCTTCGTCAGGTATAGATCGTACCTCCATAAGTTGGGATATAACCCCTACAACTACAACTATTTACAACTATGGTCTATGGTTATATAATATAATCCACTTAGAAACGGAACTGCACCCCCAAGTGACTTAAGTCTGGCTGCCAGGCAGAAACGCTCCCAATCCTTGCCACTCTGCGCCAGACCCAAAGGCATAACATCAGAGAGGTAGCATTTCTCCAGAAGTACTGAGACCTGATGTACAATGTTTTGGAATATTTTTGATGACTTACAGCTTGACATCAAAATCGTCAAATGGATATGGATATGGGTCGAAAGATGTCGAAAGTAGGTACTTCTAAAACTTGGTTGCTACGTGTTGCTACAAATGATCCGTGAATCTCAGGGTCCTAAATTCTGGGATTTCAAGTGCGGCTGCGAGGCATAAAGAACCATGGCACGGTAGTCTTGCACCATCATTAGCGAAAAGCCAGCGGCCACCAGTGAAATCCAAATTGGGAGCAAGATGACTCCTTCAGGCGGGTGCGCGTGGCGTCCAGTGGGTCCAGTCATGGAGTCATGGCGATTTCATCAGGAACCCAGCAAAAGGAACAAAAAACATCAGCTGAATTCTGTGGTTTTACCTTTATCATACTATCACAGATCATATGTCATGATTATATAACATTATATGTATATATATATACCACATATACATATATAATCATATATATATCATATCGTTTTGGGATGTGATATTTTGGGTCCTTTTGGGTTGATCTCATGGAAGAAATCCTACACTCTGCCTTTGCTGCCTTCGCTGTGCGCCTCGGAATCCTTGTCCAGCTGCCAAAGTCACTGCAATTGCTCCAGCACCACAGCGAAGGAAGATCACATACTCCTGGAACCGCGAAGGAACCCGTTGCGATTTCTGCCAACCGGCGTGAATTCAGGAAGTGGTAATGGTAATGGTTGATAGTGGTTGATAACGGTTGATCATGGATTATGTACAATAGTGATTGATAATAGTCAATTACTGTATCCTAGGGTAATCAAACATAGCGATGTCTCGAAATCCCCGAACTAGCCATGCAGGTTCAGTTTGCTGGGAAAATCAACGAGCGCCATTGATTTGGGGGATTTTCCAGCAAGCCACGTTTCACTACCAGAGGGTGCCTCCAATTTAGTTCGGGGATTTTCCAGAAATGGCCATGTTTGTGGACACCGGCGGGTATGTATTGGAACATTTACAGGACACCATGGTTTTTATCGCCAACTATGGGGGGTCCTGTAATGATCTGGTTGGTGGAATAGCAGCAAACAATTGAAACTAAAATCAACAAAGCTCCGAAATGAGATGGATACTCAGGGGTACATCTCACTTAACAAGTAGGTAATAACATGTAATAAACATGTTATGCATCAGTTCCGTTCTATCTGGCTTGTGGGTTGTATATTATTCCACTTACTCACCCGGGCCGTACATTCAAGTAGTACGTCGGTACTACAAGTAACGTGCCATCTGCAGGTTGGAGGAAAATAGATCCCTCTTACATGAGCCGTATCCAAAACCTTTTCGAAAGAAGTCCCTTTTAGGTACCCTCTGGTAATTAACCATGAGCACCCATAGCGAACTGGAAAATCACCAAGGGTAGGTAAATCATCGAGCCAAATGGGCCGTGGCTACATCCAGGGCTTCCATAGCTATATGTTAGTTTACCATTGGGTGGGGATTCCCGCACTGGATTATGATGATCCCCAATCTAATTTTATCTAATTTTGGGTAGCATGACCCCCGAAAGAAAAACACACCAATCAACTGGCTTCTTTGAAACTGCCCACATGTCTCGCAATTCTGCTGGCTCCTTGCCACGTGCCTTCAGAACATCTTTCATCATTGACTGCTCATAACCTCAGCCCAGGGCTCTTCACCAGCCGGAACAGCTCCAAACATCACATGGGGTGGCATACACCATCATGCACCCCTACAGTATGTGCTGTAAATCCCAGGGTTTTATCATCAGTTTCCCAACTAGCATTCAATTTTTGGAGAATTTGGGTCTGTCTGAAAATGTCAGGTTCTTTCAACTGGTGGATTGAACGGTGTTTTCCCTCAAATTTTCAGAGAGCCGATTTTTGTCTCTCCTCCGGGAATCAAACATGGCGATGGGAAAACCACAGGAAAACCACTGGGCACTGATAATGGCATCTAAATATTACGTAGTGGGAAAATCAGCAAACTCAATGGGTGATTTCCCAGCAGGCCATGTTTATCATGTTTTGTTAGCCCATGATTTCATGGCCCATGTAGTCCGATCGTTTACCAATTCTTTGAATGGTGGGTTTTCAATAGCAAACTGTTCGTCATTACCATTTTGGGTAAGCCATATCCCATTGATGGGTTCTGATCATCCTCAATATATAAGATAGTATCAGCCCATAATATAGTCATCGAGTCATCAACAAACCACTATATATTTTATATAACGTATATCCCCATCCGTTGATGCTTTAAACCATTAGACATGATACTTAGATCAGTTGAACATAGTTCAACCTCCAAAATGCCATGAAAATCCATGGTCAAAACCCACATATGGGGATGGGTCAAAACCCTGGTACCTTTTGTTCACCCCAAGTCATAGCTGGGATTTATGGATGTTCATCCCACTAAAAATATATCTATAGGTATTGATCCATACCCACATACCAGCTATATATTTATGGTGATGACTGGGGGATGGTGCAAATGGCCATTGTTTTAACCACATTATAATGGAGGTATGACCCATGATGAATGTGATTTAACCACCTTTTCCATGGTCAACTCCCCTTTTTGAAGTCAAGAAACCCCACCGCTCCATCTCCTGCCGAAACTTCGGCAAGTCCAAGAGCTCCAGAAAGACCTGGAAAAAAAACGCCCAACGCGTAACTTCGACGAGGCAAACGACGAGGTCAACATGAGAAATTCCCCAGATGTTGTTTTTTTTGGTGAACATATTTGCAAATCATTGGGGAATAGGCAGTTTTCTTTTTTGGTGAACATATTTGCAAATCATTGGTGAATAGGCAGAATAGGGGTAAATATGGGTAAATGATTAGTGAATATTAAAATAATTATGTTACCATATGTTAAATTATGTCAAAATCAAGGTACAGACTGCTTGATAGTGGGTGAAAATTGTAGTTGAGGGTCTTCAAAGTTATGGGCGACCGAAAGATCAAATGCATCCAAATTTGCTCCGTAAAACGATTGGTTTTCGGATACACGAAATACGCGCATACTGCAATGTTGGACCACATTTTTCAGTATCCCAGGGAGTTTTCCGTGTCGTGAAACCAACACTTGGAACAATGGACAGTTCCAACACATTCTCCAGGTCAAATGCTGACGAAGACCCGCCTTGTAGTGCATCGCAAAAAAACCAGTGGCCAAAGTGGCCTAAGTCCGCCCGTGCCATGGCCATGTCGCATTGGACGCACATTCAAGTAGGATCTCAATCTGCGATATCCGATACCCAAGTTCATTAAAGGGCATCAAGGGCTAAGTACGGGAAGAAACTGCTTGGCGATGACCACCAGTATCGAGTCTCAAAATCAGTTATGGCAAAAAAAACACTTTTCGGCATTGTCAATTTCATTACACCAGCTTTATTGGACATCAAATTGGGAACATACGCCGGTACCGGTACTCTTTACATTTCGTTCTTGTCCTTCTATCTCGTGATATTCACAAGTTCTGTTGTCTCCGCTTTGAGTGGCATTTTGAAAACTAGCCACACTAATGACTAATGACGGTACCCTTCCAGCCGCCGTAGTTGTGTCTGATCTGAAGCAAGTGACACTTGCTGCCAGCAATGCCATCAACAAGAACAAGCGCGTCACAATCCCCATGGCTCAACCAGAAAAATGCCTGTGGCATTACAAGGCAAGGATTCTGCCGTCACTTCTTTAAAGCTATTCCTTCAAAGTCCTTGACCCACTTCATGTATCTGGGTAATTTCAAATAATTCACTATGTTATATAATCTGAAACAACATGAAACAAGCCTATTTTGGGATTGTTATCCCCTACCAGCACTAACCATCATTCCAGTGAGGTCGCAGAGGGATCGCAGTGAGGTCGCAGTGAGGTCGTTATCATTTATCCAGATCTATGTTTCGTGATGTTTCATGCCTGATCCAAAAACTGTCTACTGGAATCCATTCTGGCGGAGTTTTCACTTGAAAACAGCTGGCTGTCTTCGAACTTCTCCGGCAGGTCGGCAGGTCTTCAAACGAGAACCGCTGGCTTTCATGAGGATTGTCATCATGTATGTGACACATGAATGATTGATCATGATTTTTGGTGATCCCCAATTAATACATTCAATTTTTATACATTATCGATAGATCTGAATAGTGAATAGTCCCCGTGAAAATGCCTGAACTTATCAATCCAGACTGGGCCTGGATTGAAATTGCTGTGAATTCCTTGGCCTTACATCCGGTCTTACATCTTCCGATGTCTCGTCACTTTGGTCAATGTTGACATATGTTGACCATGCGCTGGCTGGACCCCCCTGGATGTCAACTGCAGAAAATGATGGAAAATGCGAACTCATGTCAGCTCCATCCTGTAGCCAGCAGCTTTACCCTCATCTCTGCACTTTTAGGACACAGTAGGTCCTGCAAGTCCTCTGTACTGTACAAAGTTCGTTTTTAAGTTCGTGTTTACCGTTTGCCATGCAAAAAGAGAACCGTGGTCGAGTGCGAAGCACCACCTTCAGAAGTCGTATGTACAAATCTGAAGGGAACGCCTACTGCAAAATCATCAAACTGCTAGGCGAAGCTCGAAAGTTGCTTGGCTTATCACAAAACACCTCCACTCTCTTGGGACACTTACATACTTAGTACATCTGAATGCCAAGGCGTATGTAATGTGTATAATGTGTATATATATATATACGTATGTATAATATAGGCACAAATAGTCAAGGTGACAAGGTGAAAGTAAAAAGTCTGATATAGTTTTGAGATGTTCTGCGAATTGCAAGAGTTGAAAGGAACCAGCCAACGCACACGTGAATGATCGTTGGCTGGATGGAAAGATTTTCGCCACAGGACCTTGACAGTTAGTCAGGGCGCCTCGGCCGCATGCGCCGACGGCAAAAACTCCAGGAGCGGAGTGCTCCAGGCTCTGGTCTGCAGCTGTTCTGTGCAATCCCACATTTCTCGGCACTGTTTTGGATGCCCGCATCAATGTCATCTAATTCTTGACCTGAGGTAGAACACATTGAACACGGCTTGGACATGCTTGAGCATCGCGAAAGCTGCATGCATCAAAGAGAACTAATTCAGTGGCAAAACATAGGAAGTGCATAATTGTGTCAATATTGGCTACCCCAAACCCGGATACTTCCAAAAAAGTTGGATACACGTAGCGCTAAAATATGCTAAAATCAGTGGATTTATGACTGATTTATGACATTTAATGATATTTAATGTGGATTTCGGGGTTGGACAAAAGAACACATCGAGTCGACCGCCCAAAGCGTCGTCCATCTGATCGTTGCTGAGTTGCACTTTGAAATCTGGCCGCTTTGGCACAGTTCACCTCGGATCCGGTGCCGGCGTGCCGCAGGGACCGGGAGTACAGTATGACCTGGTGGACCTGGGGCCTGGACCTGGAACCAAAATATGGGGAACAGATGAGAAAAGAAACATGAAGATCAAATAAGATAAACATGGACCAGTGATCAGATCAACTATCAAATTGGGGGTAACAATTACATATATTACAGGGATGCACTATGATGCACTATCAATTTTTGGGGTAATCATATATTATCCTCTTTCCAGACAAATCCAGTGCCATGAGACTAGGCATTCGGGGCTTGGAAGGTTTGAGACCACGTAGACCTCGATTGCTTTGCATCACTTGCCACACGGTAGAAGCGCAGTCCTTGCCCAGTTCCTGGCCCCGCTTCAACGGCATTGTGGCACGCCAGCTTGGGCGTGGCTTAGGTAAATCCACCAATGCTTGTCTGGTGGCTTCAAAAAGGGGAATCTGGGGATTCCAAATCACCACCCTACACGGCCAATTCACCGTTGTTTTAAGACCTGCTATTGCAACTTGAACACCAAGGGCAACATGACAAAGGATCCTGCTGCTTCAAGAGCCGACTCGTCAATCCGCTCTAAATCTTGAAGTAGACATAGAAGGAATTCATTTGATTAATTCCTGCCACACACCGTTGGCAGCTGCCACGCCTTCAATGCCAGCCCTGCTTCATCGGCGTTCAAAAACCGAAACTTTTTCTGTGTAGCAGGCGGCAACAAAGGATAAACAATACCTCGGATCGGAGATGGGCGACGGCAATGCCTTGACCGTTCTTTGAGGCATCAGTCGCCTGTGAATGAGAAGTACAACTGCCTGGTTCTTCCTCAAACATTACATGTATAGCGGCCATAATGTATAATTATACACACATATATATATATAAATGTAAATATAATATATAATGAAATATTAAATTACACTATACATATATTTATATTATACAATCAGTACATGTGTGGTGCTTCCTATCTGTATGGAATGACACCACAGCATCCTTTGTTTGCACAGGTGCTCCAAACCGGCTGAATCATCATCGGCGCATCCACCATCATAACCTCCGCAAATCACGTGCCCAGTGCATTCTCAGTATGATTCCTCCAGAATTGGTTGTTCCATGTTGTTCCTCAAATTTGCTTGATATGTCTCCATGCTTGGTTGATCTTCCCCTTCTAATATAGCCATTACTGCCAATTTTCGGACTATCCATCCTGAGGCCGCGGCAACCCTCAAGCGGTCCCTGTAGGGTTGGCGCAGGAGTTCGGCGATACCAATGACCACCCGGGGGTCCATGTTGTATCGCAAGCAGAAGCCGTGGCAGTCCACAACCACATCCATCTCAGCGGCAATCCGAGTACTACAGCTGCCAACAAAAAGTCGTCCTCCGAAACTCCTGCAATATGCTTACTCCCCCATGGATAGAGATCAAATTAGATAAATCATGATAAATCGATAAATCATGTTGAATCATGATAAATCATATCAAATAGTGACACGTAGATACTAAGCACGGCCAGCCCTTGCTGAAAGGTACCCCATGCTACCCCCACCTGCTGGACACTTTTGGGCATCGTCTTCACAGCTGTCTCCAGCACCGCTGCAACGTGCTCCAAAGTGTCGGACACGTTGAAGGCGCGTGTCTGGTGCTGACAGCACCTGGGCTGGGCGGCCACCATGGGGAACACATGAAAAAAAACACCATGGATTTCAGTGATTTCAGTGAGAAAATCTGCAAGACATTGGGGGGCATCTTCTTGCATTGTTTTTTTTGCAATAAAGGAACTTCCGACAGAGGAATACCCCCCTCATACTGCATCCAAAACCATTTCAGGGACTTTGGGCAGATATTTTTGATGGCTAGTGTCAATAGTAAATACATCATGTAAATACATGTAAATACCAGAAAAAAACATGTAAAAACATGTAAATACATGTAAATACATGTAAAGATATATTTATATAATTATATATATAAATACTAGACATGCTTCAAATCACTCAACAAATCAATAACTTTCCAAAGGGGTCTCATGCTTTGACCCGGCCAAAGCACAGGTACAAAAGGGGATGGCCATCCTCGGACTGGGACAAAAGTCTGAAGTCTCCCTGCCACTTCGGCAATCTACTTCCGGTCAGAACATCCTCGCTGGAAGTCTGGACAAAAAGCCCATGGGCCGAACAATGGCATCCCATGGCTATGTCCAAATTTTGTCAAAATTTGAGGATTTCTGACATCATCTTAAATCGCCCAACATCTGTTTCAGCAGAGACTTCATTTGGTTCGCTCTAAAAGACTTGTTGTTTACACGCCCACGCCTTCTCCGAACCCTGAAGAATCTTCGGGCTTTGGTCCTTGTACTGTTCTCGCCAGATCAAGGACTTCGCCAAAATCTCTGCCGCTGCACAAGGGTCTCCCTTCCGGCCGTTTAAGTACCTTCTCAACACCTGCGGCCGGCAAAGTTCCCAGGGTTTTCTCTAGGAAGTTTACCGTGCAACGAAAGAATGGTTTGGCTATGGCCATGCTTAGTCACTTCACCTTCAAACCTGCATATGCAAAGCTGGGGAGAAAACATCTGCAATTCCAAACATTGGGGGTCGAAGCAAACCAATTCCTTGCACTTTAGGTACTCGTGAAAGACTGCTCCTGCCCTAAGATTGGGCTTCTGGGATGCACACATAGTTTCTTCCAACGGCATCCAACGGCGACTATGGGTTGAGTCGGTTGAGTTGCGTTCCCGAATTTTGATCCATCCCCTGACGGCCCTGACTCGAGCGCTCCAGCCCTTAGGAACCTCAGGAGTGCAAAAGCTACGCTGCCAATCGCTCAAGCCACCTACTGTCTCTTCAGCCATGCGCAGTACCTGGAAGGAGCACGGAGAGTCGCAGCGGTGCGGCATCATGCGGCATCACGTCCTGTCATTTTTGCCTCAAGTTTGAGCTGGGGTGCCTGGGAATTCTTGTTTTTTTTGTTTTCCCCAATCTTTCCCCCAAAAATAGATCACAAAGGTCTGACAGAGGCCCTTCCCCTTTACCAAACCAAAAAGGTGGTGTCTGAAAATGTCAACAGAACGGAAGTTGGGGCCTCAGCAATCTGTGCATCATCTCTGAGGCAGCCTGCCTCCTGAGGCTTGGCCATGTTGAAATCTATGGATTTGCTGCATCAAGGGGGGATGAAGATCCATTTGACCAGCTATTGCTATGCATTATGATGCCATATCTTTTGAGGATGAACATTTAGCTGTACCGGCTATGTGAACAGAAGGAAAAAATCAGGATTTTGACACAGCCACCCTCGGATCATCTTGTCATAGGGCTGGAATCGTTGCGGCGACTTGGGTCCAGTAGAGCCATGGGATTGAACATGAACAAATGTGGGTGTTGCTCCAGTATGCCAAACTCGCCATTGGATTCGGAACAATGGTGATAAAACCACAGGACGACGAGACTTTCCACAGTGGCACAGCAACGGCGACCACATCGATCACATCCCTTAAGTATTACGGTCAAGGCTTTGCCCAATTCCACTGGATTTTCCAAAGTTTTTCCTGGTTTCTTTGGACACATTTAGGTTTGTCTGAAAATTGTGCAACACGAAACCCAAGTGTTAATTATAATTTTCCGTATTAACCTATAATTATATATAATCATCATGTTCCGTCTTAAAATAGTGTACCCCCATCAATCCTATTAATTTCCTATAATTGGGGCTATATCAATCCCATTCAATGTCAACAATTACCCCTATCAATACTCTTAAATTTCTTTTTTTTTCAATGGCCATTTCAGGAACCTAAAGTGGAGGTACCTAACATAAGGTCTGTGTAAGGGCTACGTAAGGGGATATATCCCCCAAATATGGCTTTATATGGTACAGTAGCTCCAGTTTAGGTGAAATGGCCATTGACAATTGGGGCTATACCCTATTTCAAGACACAGCCATTTCCGCGGTCGTCCTGTGAGGTGACTTGTCTGTCCAGCTCCCGGTCACAGCAGCATGTGGAACCCATGGTTAAGCCAGAATCGCTCGGCAGAACGGCTGGCAAATGGCTGGTCAATGAGGTTGCTTTACTAGCAAAGATGTGAATTTTATTGAATTTGTGTGATGCAATCAAATGAAATTGCCGTGGTCTTGTCGGTCATTCGCGGATTTCCCATCAGTTGGTTCAAATGTTCAATTTCACCATGTTTAGTTGGAACCCATGTCCGGCGCAAAAGCTTTGCGAAATAGGTGGTTCGGTGCTGCAACGGCTGCTTCGCCGGCAATGGCTACAACAGCCGAAATGTGCGGCGGCCAAGTTTCCTCCTCCCCTGCAGACATGGATGCTGAATTGAAATGCTGGATTTCCAGGTGGGTCCCCAATTTCGGGGACAAACCTCATATTCATCGCTGATTCATCACTTATTCATCAGTTGCAATGCAACTGGTGTTTTTCTTTTCACCACGGAGATCTCCGTCTCCATTTCCCCCGGAGATGCCTCATCGGCCCATTCATATCGGATCTCGTCAAAGCCTCCAGGCCCCAGGCACCACACAACGTCTGGACCAACGTCTGGAGGATTTAAGGGATGCATGAACCATATAAAAAAAAGATTGGTTGGTGGTTGGTATACCTACCCCTCTGACTATGACTTCGCCACTTAGGATGATGACATTCCCAATATTAATGGATAAAACATGTTCCAAAAAACCAACCAAATGATATGCATGAATCACCATGAAACGGGTTGAACCAGACTCCATCAACCAGTTGGGAGGTGACCAAGAAGTGTGGGCGCAAAGGATCCACAAATGCTGGTCATTTGTAGGATCCTAAACCGTCCATTTTTTTGGGGGGGGCTGTATGGTAGTTTTGAATACTTTCGAACCATCCCCATATCCCTCTTAGACTTGAGTGGTTCAGCCATCCCACAGATACAATTTTTCTGCCGCATTGCGCAGAAAAGAGATCCTTCCATCTGCATATGGTCTTTGTCTGACACTGCTGAACCGTCCAAGAATCCACTGGGGTAGTGTTAGATCATCTGGCCAAATACATTCACCATCCAGAAAATCGATTCACCATTCACAATATTCACATAAAAACCAACATTTCACCAACCATTTCACCTGAAACAGATGTTTTTTTAAATGTTTTTTTTGCATGGTTCCCTGGTTCCCTCCATCCTAGCCATTCCCTCGTTGACGGGGCCTTCCGCTTTGTCCGGCAAGGAGAAATTCTTCAGCTCATGCGCCAGGACCCTGAAAAGTCCAACCATTGGATGATGAAATTTTAGGTCAATCAATGGCCCCAAAAAGAAATGGATGTTTTATATGGTAAAATATGGTAAAATTATCTGGTAATTCCAACAGTTGGATTATGTTGGTCGTTTTCCACTATTTCAAGAGGAATGTACGGACTGTACTGTTCTGAATCTGTTCGTAGGTGCGACCAATGCGACCAATGACCATATACATATCATTATCCACAAATGATCAGCTATTTGGGTTTGAACCATAGCATCAACATCAGAAGCCGAGAAAGAAAGGGAACCAACTCTGTGGCCGCGGCTTGTCTGAGACCTCCATCTTGCTGGGAAAGTCAGCCTGATCGAATCTGAGAAAAGGTCCACTATGGTCCACTGGTGGTGGTGCAACCAGGACAAATTCCTTAGGGGCAGACATAGTGTTACACATAGAGATACACATAGAGCACGATCTAGGGCTACGACTCAGTTAAGACTCGTCCCTATTGGGAGAGAAGGGATCCCAGCTCCGCACACATATCGGGATTTGGTCATCGGATTTGGTAATGTGTTCCGATTAAACAAAGTGCCATGAAGGCACAAGTACAAAGGCTGAAGTACAGTACCGGGAGCTCAACCTTTTGTCAGAATCATCAATTTGTGAATTCAACAAGGGTGTGAAAACTTTTCTGGTTGAATCATCAACCACCTCATGTATTCCCTCTGCACTCGCGTCATTCGATGGCAAGCTTGAGGGCGGCTCATGTGGAGCATGACCAAAGCGAAGAGAAACACTGGTAGGTAATGATTTCTTTGTATTTACTCAGTAAGCCCGGAGGCTGATGGCCAGGATGTTTAGCGGTTAGCGACTGAAAGGCCCACTTCGGGAGGTAGCAGCCTCCACTAGATGATGTATATACATTGATATGATTGAAATAAGGCGGCGCACTTTCCACCCGAGCGTGTGATGGCATCTTTAAAAGTGTCTGTTAGCCAATTCATTTTTGGTCCACCCACCCTTCTTGTTGGGAATGTTCTGGGAGAAGCAATTGTGGATCTCTAATTTGTTGTCGATGGATGTCGATGGTATCTGATAAAACAGTACCTAGGTATACCGCTTGGCGTTGACGTGACACTCTTGAGCCGTCCTGATATTTGATTCTTGATGTCTTTTGATTGGAGGTGAGATTGATACATTCATTTTATCACTGGTTGGTGGTTTCAACCCCTCTGAAAAATATTAGCCAGTTGGAATGATTATTCCCAATATATATGGAAAAAATGTTCCAAACCACCAATCAGATCATTTTTTATAGGTTAATTGAGTTCATGTTGAATTCAGGTGAGATTAATGATGGAAAGCCACTTTGCGAGGACAATTCCAATTCTGGATGCAACAGCGACGAATATCTCAAAACCTGGGTCAGACCTGGGCAACCATTCCTCGGGTGGTTCATAAAACTTCAGAACACCCAAAACAATCCAAAGCCAAGTGTTTTACTGGTTGGTGGTTTCAACCTACCCCTCTGAAAAATATGAGTTGGTCAGTTGGGATGATGACATTCCCAACTGAATGGAAAGTTATTTAAAAATCCATGGTTCCAGTCACCACCAACCAGACCATGTTGAACGACCAATCATTGGTCGATTTTCAAGATCCGTGGCCCCGCCCCTTGGAATCCCATGCCCGACCTCGGGAGGCTCCTTCAAATCATCTACCGGTGGTTCTTCACCTGCAGCCTGGAAATTTCATGGATTGGGGTAGCCAATGGAGCCACCACAAACTGGGTACGTGTACTATTGAACCATTCGAAGCATCCAATTCTTGGGCGAAGCATTTTGAACCATAACAACATGAACTGCAAGCGTGCTGAGGAGTACGTTGAACATAGTCTGTCAGGAGTTTCAACATACGATAAAACCAATTTCTAAACCGCCAGAAACCATCGAATCAACCAACCATAGTGGGGGTCATCATTTCAGCATCATTGCATTCAAAGCATGGCTTTTTTGCTGTGCCTCGGCACTGCTTCGTCTGCGCTCCAGCTGTTCTTTGGCAGCCTCATAATCAGACCTGACAGCAACCCACAGGATCCAACGGTTACCCTCTGGTAAACTAACATAGCTATGGAAAATCACCATTTATAGTGGATTTTCCCATTTAACATGGTGGTTTTCCATGGCTATGTTAGTTTACCAACGGTTAACATCGGAGATTTTTCAATACCACGAAGATGATCCATGTTCAATGGGAAGATGATCTCCAAATAGGGGGTTTCCACGGTCATGTTCGACCCATGTTCTCCCGTTGCCAGGTTAGCTCACTCTGGAGGTTGAGCAGTTTAGCCATTTGACCTGTCTCTGTTTAGCCAGCCTCGTCCTCTGTTTCACCCAATCTCTGAAGTCTTCGTCCGGCTTCCCAAAGAGGACAACGGCAATCTGCGTCAGGAGTCATGGCACTGGGCAGTCTGAAAAGGCAGGAAATGCCAAGGGAAATTCAAAAAAAACTGACAAACACTGATATTAATATTCATATGGGTGTGTCTAAACATATTTAACATATTAGCAAGGTATACCCGCGGGTAGCATTTTTTTCATGGTGGAAATGATGATTTTAATCGTGAATTTAGAGGTACCGTGTTTTCAAACGAATCCCATGAATGCAGATTCACCTACATTCATGCAGACATGGGTGAACAGATTTCTTTTTTGATACTGATACCGCATGTCTTTTTTGAAATAATCATTAATGTCACTATAAACGATGCAAGTTGGGATGTCGAATTTTTGACCGCATGCCCAGGTGCTGGTGCATTGAAGTAATTAGCTGGTGTTTCTGGATGTTCACTCCTCCAAAGATGGTCCTATAGATATTGATCCATCATGTCACCATGTCTTTTTAATTGTTTCAATAAACTGGACTTCCAATCTTGGGGTTGAAACATCAGCTGAAATGGTGGTTCTTGGATGTAGTGAATGTAGTGGTTTCGCTTCCTAACTTCCCATCTTTGTTGCGGCCAACAATTAAGAGGCCACAACCAATCTTTTGTTTGTATGATACAAATATATTATCGAATAGGGTACTGCCAAAGTTGATGGTTGATGATCCTTTTCCATATTAACATTTGCCATAATTTGGGTGCATACCCATTTCAGTCGTACCCAATTCCTCAAATATCTGAAATATACAAGTAATCATTATAGCTACATTCTCATAGCCCTAAAAAAGATTGAAACATGGGTGGTCAAAACCCTGTAAATGTGGCGAAATGAAAGTAGCTGGGATGGACATGGATGTCCATTGTGTTCATTCATGTCCATCCCCAAAAATTGTATTCATAGGCATTGATCCATAGTCCGATTCCCCTTTCATATTAACCATCACCTCTCAATGGGTCCACATATGCGGATTTATTCCCTATACTAAACATCACTAAACTATGGCTTTTGAGGGGGGTTTAGTAATGTTTCGTAGGGAAACCATATTGGATTCGCCATTGCTTCCCAGGGATTCGTCACCTTCTTGGCCGTCGGGAAGTTTTTCAGAAGACTCCGCCTCTCGGCCTGACGCCATCGGGGTGAAGGGGCTTTCTGGGAAGGTCGAAACATCGGCCATCAAAAACGGTGATTTCATCATCAGAATATGTTGATTTACCCTCTGGTAATTTAACATAGCTATTGAAAATGGCATGTTTTAATGGGAAAATCAACTATAAATGGCCATTTTCAATAGCTATGTTAAATTACTAGAGGGTAATAGTCAAACATTGATTTCAAAGTGGTATAGAAAAATGTATAAAAATGTGATTTACTCTGAAATCCACATCAAAAAAATCATCGTATCAAACATTGACTTAATATCATTTAATATCCACCAATGCGACTTGTCCCTCTCCCCAACGAACAACTCGACCCGTTGGACACGCCGCTCATCCCAAGAAGAAAGTCCGCAACTCATGGCAAGGTCAGTGGTATGGTACATCCAAATAGAAGGGAATAACATGTAATGGATACCACAATGGTAAATAACGGATGTAATCTATGTAGAATTTAAGTAGATATTTTTGTGGCTTTCCCGTTCCAGTGTGTTTCTCCATAGAACTCTGTGACAAAAAGACAGTCACTTGGGACCATCATAATTGAACGATCCGAATGGTCGAAAAAGGCTGGCGGAATTTTGATTGTCCCAGGATAAAAAAAGACAGTCCTAGTTCCAAATATGTCCAAATATATTCCAAGAGATCAATGTCCACTTCCATCTTGAACTTTGACCTTTGGAAGTGTGGCTGCTTGGGAATTACTATTGAAGATGAAAGGACAATTGCGCAGATCGTTTTGCAAACTTCACATGCCCAGTGCAGGGCTTGTTCAGGGCTGCAGGGGTTCGAACCTGCACTGGAATGATGGTATTGAGTCCAGCCGCATGCCACGATTGCGTTGGCATCAATGTCGATTTGGTGGTTTCAGTTTCAACCCATCCTGGATATGTATATATTATCTCTTATTGTATATATATATATATATACTTATATATATATATATTCAATGTATAATACAAATATGTGCATATGAGAGTCAAACGCGATAATGATTGTAGATCGCTATGGAACTAACATTTTTAACTAGATCTTTGAAACCACCAGTTTCAGTGATGGCCCAGGACCAAGAGGACTACACATTGGCAGTCCCTGATTCGTCTCCGTGAGGTGCTTGTCCGCTCTTACCAAGTGGCGATTGTAGCCCTGTGAACAGTAAGTCCCATAAGTGGCTTATCTATGCTTATCCCATATATAGATGGGTTATAACTCACCAGTTACTAACTGGGAGGATCCTCTGAACTGTTGACACTACAAAAAGTATCAGCCGCCATGAGCTCTGGAATCTGCTTCGAAGCCCAGTCGCGCACTATCGCCAAGGCATCCTCAAAAAAAGTTGGAGGCTGCCATGATCATTGCGTGAGGACAAACTTGTGGAAACATCGCAGTTTCCATCTTGATCGCCTTGATTCCTGAATATCTATGGATACAGTATCTATGGATATCTATGGACATCTGGGCTTGGGTGCTACAAATTGCTATGGCAGTTTGCAACCCTTGGGCCTCCTCTGAAAGGGGCGTCCGTTGTGCGCGTGCTGGTGTCGGTCTTGTCACGCTACCTGACAGGCAGTCCGATATCGGGATCTGCCAAGGGTGAGACAAGTATGATCATGCTGTCGTGTGGGTAAAACAATAATAAACCACCCATTTGGGAATGGTTTATACCGCCTATAAATATGGTGATTTGGGGATGGTTAGTTTTTCTATACCCACATTACTTCTTTTAAAAGGACGTAAAAATTGCTCTGTGTTCTCTGATAAGCATCATTTACATCACGATGACTCTGGTCACTGTGGTCCCAGCACACTCAGTAAGCTCTGAAGTGCACCCTCAGTCCCTTCCCATGTTGCCATGTTACGCTATATATGCATACATATGCATACATTACATCCCAAACATCTGCACTCATAGAGAACCTCGACTCCAAACACTTTCCCAGGGAACATGGACTTGTGACAGCACGGCTTCTTGCAGTTGGGAAGCGGGCCGCAAACGGCGTTGCCTAGAGCATGGCTGAGATTTTGGGGTGCAGTTCCGCTAAGTTCATGTGGGTTCCATTTCACCATAGTTGTAGGGGTTATATCCCAACTTAAGGAAGTTATTACCATAGTTATTACCATAGTTATTACCATAGTTATAGAAGTTATTACCATAGCTACACCATAGTTACACCCATTATTCCCAGGCCCCATGGTCAGCAAAGGCACCTCTCGGTAGCGTGACACGGGCGAGGCATGTGACGCAGGCGGCTCTGACTCTTCTTTGGCCTACCAGGTTCGCAGGTGGGACGACGAGTGGATCACCAAATGATGTTGGGTTTCAAACCAATGATAAGGGGCATGATAATAATCCCTTCATCCTAATCTTATATAAACACTCCCTAGAAACCATGGTTTAGTAGGGAATTTCCACATAATTGGTACCATTTATATTGGCTATCCCGCCACCAGTGCGTACCGTTCCCACCGGCCACTTAAATCATGTGAACTCGGCTCTGGCACCATTTCGGATGGAAAAACATCAGTTTCTTTGGCTCACCAAACCCATCCATAGCCATAACGGGGGCCAACCTGCAACCACTGCCTGTCCTCACTGTCACCTGCAGGGCATTTCTCAATGGGCAGTCGATTTCTTTTTGGTTTGTTTCATGAAAGACATTGAGGGGCAGAACTTTCAAAGGTTCTCCGGTTTTTGAAGTCATTTGAAGTTGACTTGGTCAATTTTTGCGCGTTCGTCTGCAGAGAGAGCATGCAGTGTCAACACCACGCCTAGTTTAGGCTCGTGGAATGAACATGTCTTGTCGTTGGTCAGGCTTCCAGTACTTTGTCCTGCGCAGATGACTAAACTGTCTGCTGCGAAACACAATCCAAGCGACAACCCCGTTTTTGATGCTGGAGGTAAACTGTTCGTTAAATTTAATGCCATGCACAAATTAGGGTCGTCCCCGATCGATTGTGAGGATCACAAATGGGGTATCGGTATAGGGTCGTCCCCTATCAGTTGTGAGGATTTCAGCACTACCGGAGGTATCACAAATGGGGTATCGGTATAGGGTCGTCCCCTATCGGTTATGAAGGTTTTGTGCAAGCTCAGAAAGGCCAAGGCGAAGCAAAACTAAATTAGTATTACAATAATTTTGTTGGCTACTCATATGTTGGTATGCTGTAGACCCGATAGTGCTCCTGACTCTTCAAGTGGTAGGCGCTCACTTCGCAACTTCGCCGGCTTCATCTCAAAGGGTGGAGCGAAGGACATCTCTGAGGTATCTTGATGGCCATCGTCATGAACACCTGTGACGAATTGAGTTTGCCGCAAGTCCTGCTCATACTTGAAGTCATTCAAGTAGCATGAAATGACATGTTTCTGATGTTTCTGCCCATGTGGCTCCACAACCAAACTTGCATTTTGATATATGTGGATCCTTTTTGAACATTTCTTGTTGTGTCTTGTGGCACGATGTGTCTTGCCGTTCTAGTTTGGTGGGCCGCTGATGATAGGCCTACTTCAACTTCTCGCTCCGACACAAGCTCGGCTCCAACGCGACAAAGACCTGGGACGGTCAAAGGAGACGATGGATACATGAAAAAACTTCTGATCTTGCATGGTGAGCATAGCAAGATAATGTAACATGATGTAAAATAATGTAAACATATGTAAACTTATGTAAAATGATGTAAACTGATGTAAAATGATGTAAAATAATGTAAAATAATGTAAAATAATGTAAAACTATGTAAACTAATGTAACATGATGTAAAATGTTGTAAAATAATGTGAACTCATGTAAAATAATGTAAATGTAATGTAAAATGATGTAAAATGATGTAAATGCTCAATTTCATGTAACATGATGTAAAATGGTCACCTACACTTGCAATTTTTCAAGGGGAAACCATCTTCCAGAAACAGTTTTGAATGTACAGGGGCAGATTTTCAATGGGGGTACCAGTCATCCAAGAGTGGTTCGGAGACCTGGTCTCCATCCCAAAGTTGAACAGAAGACGGCAAGGGACAAGGGATTATCACGAAGCAAGGCATCAGTTTTTCCATATTTTCCATCCAGTTGACATTAAGAAATAATAGAAATATGAAACAAGTGCAATTTTAGGTATGCCGCCCCATTTTTCAGATACCCTCCAGTAATCAAATTTGATAGGGGATTTTGCCGCCATGTTTGATATCCCCAGGCTACACCCATTGTGCTGTGTGTGGTCACAAAGTCACGGCACTGGCGCTTCTTCTCCAGTTCTGCCGCATGGAGCAGCGGCGCGGCGGAAGGTCAGGCCTGCCGAGCCGTGGCCCCGTGGCCCCGTGGCCCTCCCCCCTTCGGTACAGCTGGGAAATCCCCTATAGAAATGGAGGAAGCAGATCAGAAACTGGTGGAAGATGGTGGAACTCAAGACTTGTTGCATCCCCTGTTTCTTGGCTGATGTCTCCATCTACCAGCCACCAAGCACAAAAAACTCAACCATTTCCAAGCATGTCGGCACAAATAAGTCACGCTCTGCCTGTTCCATCCACTGGGTCTGATCATGGGGGATGCCATTTTCACGGCAAAAACTGAGGAACACCATGATAACATTCCCATTTTCATAGCAACTGGGGCAACAAAAATCTGTTCTCACCTGGATTGCTCAGGACCTGGCCAAAGTTCTTCCATCTCTGGTAGTCGCTGTGCCGACGCCTGGGAGCTGGGAACAGGCCGCGCTTCCAGGAGCAAGCTGTTGGTCCTGACAATCGACATCCAAAATCATCACAATGGATCAATCTGATTCATGCTTCACCACAGTATAGCAACTCAGAAAAAAATATCGCTTCTAGTAATTTCGAGTGATTTACCATTCTTCTCGGATTGGATTCTAGTCCTACTTTTGGGGGTTGCTGACCACATCTGACCACCAAGTCCCGAAATCGTCCTCCGGCTCTCGACTTCAGGCGGTGGGTCGCAGCGGACAGCACGGGGGACCATGGCAGTCATCAAGAGCCGCCCGAAGTCCGCCATGGCGCCGGGGGTGACCGGTGATGGCTGGAGGATCACCACATGGGTGGGCGATTTCATGGGATTTAGCCGGATTTCATGGGGATAATATGGTGATTTAACCATCAAAAATGGTGGTATACTGGGGATATATTTGGATAAAGGGGACTTGTAATTGAACTTGTGGGGATTTTCCTTCTGATAATCAAAAGTGCCTGGCTACTGGTTAACTTTGCAGGAAACTCTGTTTTTGTTGTTTTTCAAATTTTTAATTCATAAATTCATAAATCATGAACTACAGCTCCAGTTTTGATTTTGACGGGGATTTGATGGGGCGTTAGGCCCGTAAGGCACCCAACTCCTGTCAGCACCGATGGATGCCTTGGGGTTTGGTCCAACTTTCTGTCCACTTTCTGATTCTGGACGACATCAACCTATTTTAAAAAAAAACACCAATGGGAGCTAATCATCTGTTGTATATCCCGAATCCCATCCAAACAAACCCAAACAAATGACTACGGTTTGTGGTTCAAAAATAGAAAGGATGTTGATGTACCAAAATTGACCCAATCTTTGGGTCGTTTCTTGACGCTTGGTGTAAACTCTTTGGGCACCGTGTAAAAAAAATCTAGCCAAACCCAGTCTGCGGTTCACGCCTCAACCAAGTTTCGGCGCACGGAACTGTGGATGAGACCTTGACGCAAAGCACACAAAAACCGTTCTTCTTTGGCCAGGCCCCACACAGCGTCTTGATGTTTGTACGAAACTAGAGATGAAATCAGATTGAATGCGTAATTTGGACCGGTGTTTAAGAACGACAAATGAGTAGTGTACAGTGAAGGGACACCTTGATGATCATCAATAAAGTGCAATTCGTGTGGTCTAGATTATGTTTTGCGTTTGTGATTGCAGAATCTAGGGAAAATATCAAGCGTTTGAATTTTCAAAAATCAATTTTCCTCGGCCTGGAGAAAACAAACACGTATTCAACGCATTCTCTTACACATGCGGAGACCCAAAATCATGACGTATATATAATATACATATATACAATATATATATACAAAGTATACGTACATACAACATATATTAATATATATACACTATAAATAAATAATACATATATATGTATACTGTATATTTACTAAATAAATATATATATATATACACAAAAAATATATGTATATATATACACAAAATATATATACTATATAGATACTAAATATATATAAATATATACACACTAAAAAATAAATATATGTATATATATATAAATACTAAATGTAAAATTATACAAATACATACTATATAAATAGTGTATATATATAAAGTATATATATAAAGTATATATATATATACACTATTTGAATATACTATATACATATAAAAAATACAAATATAAACTAAATATAAATACTATGTATCTATATATATATATATATTCGATATATATACTATATATCTATACATATATATACACTATATATCTATATATACTATAGATAGAGATATATATATACACTATATATCTAAATATACTATATATATATTTACTATATATATACACTATAAAAATACTATATATGTATATTATACACTATTTAAATACTGTGTATATATATACACCAGAAATACTATCTATACAATATATACAATATATACAATATATAAAATATATACAATATATACAATATATACAATATACACAATATATACAATATATACAATGTATACAATATATACAATATATGCAATATATACAATATATACAATATCTGTTTATATATATATACACCTTATATATACTTTACATATTTACTTAAATTATATACTATAAATACATTTTATATATACATTATATATATATTATATTTACACATTCTGATATAATATAATAAATACTATATATATACACACAAACACTATATATATATACACATTATAAATATATATATACACATTAAATATATATATATATATGCATTGTGTATATACACATTATATATAATATAAATAAATACTATATATATATAAATAAACAATATATATATATACATACACACGCTACATATATATATATGTATAATTTCAAAATAATTACATATATATATATATATCCTGTGCATGGGGTCAAATACAATGCAAAAAATGCATCCTCTTTAAATTCCACTGGTGCCCGGGGCTACTGATTTTACAGTGGCAAAACGAGCCTCCCAAGATAACTTGGAAATGGGGCTCTATGAGGTGAGTGGTTCAAAACCCCGGAATGTTTGAAATTCTCCCGGCATGGTTGCACATGGAGTAATAAATATTCCAAATGATTCCAACTGTTATTTAATCCCGGATTTTCTGGAACCTATTTCAAACTTTTCCAAATACGTTTGATTAACAACTTTGCTGTTCGAAAAAAAAGGTGGTAGTCTTGACCATTTGGTTCATTTAGCACAGTCAACACATTCTTGTGTTGATGGTCCGTCAACTGTTCCCGAAGATTGGAAAAAACAATTTTCTGCTGGTCACTGCCAGAATCATACTCTTGTTGGCTCATGACTGTTCACGGCCTTCCCCTGCAAGTATCGGGGACAATTGTCTGAGGGCACCTCGCATCCTTTGATGGTCCGAAATAACTACGAGCGCACGGGTCACAACAATGGACACATCTCACCACAACCGCATGGCACACCGACGACCATGATCTCACAACAAAGGGGCAGATCTCACCAGCAAGCCGGCAAGCCAGCCAGCCAACAAGTAGACCGGGGAAAAAGGTACTGCACCTGCAGAGTACGTGCGCAAATATTCGAATAACTAATCTCATCAAGTTGGAAAATCGCTGCGCTATTCAGAAACATGTATTTTTTAACAGGTCCATTTAACTAGATATATACATCTTCGTACACACGACAGCAAGACACAACATGCCTCAGCTACATGGTTAGCGTGGTCGTCAAAATCAGGGCCTAATAAGGTTTTGGCTACCCATCGTAAAGGGGGATTGTTCGCCCATAACTTCTAGATGTTGCTTTGTGGAAGATTCTGCGCATTGTACACCGGTTTTGGGACGAGATCTTTGCATTGCAACGAGTAGACTCAACTACTCAGTACTTGAAACAAACCAACCATGCACAGCGACCAAGGCCCAGGCACTTGCAACCAATTCTCTGCACAGTATGCCGTACAAGTACATAGTGATTTTGACTCCTTGAAAAATCCCAAATTCCTGGGTTTTCAAAATTCCTGAGGACTTTTGCTGGCTCATGGATGTTTTCATAGCCTTCCCCTGCAGGTGTCCGACTTGTATTAGGAAATTGCTGTGATGGTACAAATCATTACGAAAAAAACAAATATGGTCCAGGCCCACCCGCATGTAACCTTCCAGATTGCTGGCTATCATCACAACCAATCTATACTTATATATATTGTATAATCTTCTGACATTCTATTCGGGCATTCTATCTGGCATTCTATCTGACATTCTATTCTGCCATTCTATCTGACATTCTATTCTGGCATTCTATCTGGCATCTATTCTGACATCCTATCTGGCATCATTTGTGGCATCTATACTGACATTTCCTCTGGCATTTTTTCTGCCATATGTTCTGGCATACGTTCCGGCATGCTATCTGGCATTCTATCTGACATTCTATTCTGGCGTTCTATCTGACATCTATTCTGACATTCTCTTCTGGCATTCTATCTGGTATATTGTCGGAAATTCTTTGTGGTTGAGGCCCGGGAACACTCTGAACCGGAGCTCGCGGTTGAGGTCCGGCGGGGAACACTGAACCTGAGCTTGCTGTTCGGGTCCGGTGGGGAACACTCTGATCCAGAGCTTGCGGTCGAGGTCCGGCGGGGAACACTCTGATCCTGAGGGGTCCGGCAGGGAACACTGCGATCTAGCGCTTGCAGCTGAGGTCCGGCGGGGATCACTTTGAAGCAGAGGTTGCTGTTCGGGTCCGACAGGGAACACTGTGACCTTGCGCTTGCAGCTGAGGTCCGGCTGGGATCACTTTGATCCAGAGGTTGCTGTCCGGGTCCGGCGGGGAACATTGCAATCTAGCGCTTGCAGTTGAGGTCCGGCGGGGAGCGCTTTGATCCAGAGGTTGCTGTCCGGGTCCGGCGGGGAACGCTGCGATCTAGAGCTTGCAGTTGAGGCCCGGCGGAGGGAGGACGAGGAGGACGAGGAGGGCGGCTAAAATCTAACAACCCTCACTTGACAGGTGGGGAAAAAAACAGGGTCGCAGTTTAAAAAAAAGGAGAGAATTTTGGCCGAAATTTCATCAAAGTTTCGAGCCTGTTGGGTTGAAGACAGGAAATACTGTGCTTTATCCTTTTCATCTATTTCTACCAGCTAGTTTTTACATTGAAGACGGCTCAAGCCATCATGAACTTAGCCAGCCAAACTCCAGGCATCTAAAAGTTTGAACTTTTTACCCAAAATAGCTGTGCAAGTCTCACCTCGCACGTGCCGCATCTTTTAACACTGGAGGGCTAAGGGCTAAGGGCTAAAGGTATCACATGTTCGCCCCTTGAAAATCAAAACAATGGCGCGAGGTTTGTAATGGGGCTTGTGGCCGGAGTTCTTGCAGTATGAAAATGCGATGTTTTCACCTTTGTTTGAAACTGTGTCTAAACTTGCCGTGGTTTGAGTTTGGCAAAGTATGTCAGAGCAATGGCCTTGAAATGCCATGTTGGGGATCAATCGAAATAAACAAATGTTTTAGCCGAACAGCATGTTCCGAAATCTGCAAAAAAAAGAATATTGAACATGTAGGCTGGGACCAAGAAGGTTTCGGGACATCGTTTCGCGCGAACGCGTCTGGTTGTGTTGGCTCGGAATATAGGCTTTACCATCCCGTGGGCGAAGTTGAACCAGGTATGCTCGGAACAAACTTCCAGCACGGACACTCAAGGTAGCCCACCGCACCCGAGCGGACGCAACTGGTTGTGTTGGCTCGAAACAGCTTTCAAACCAAACGCCAGTTCAAGCATACGTCGCTTCAAAAAGACCAGCTATGTGC